TTAATTTTTAAATAACAACTAATCGAATTCGCTTAATCGATTTTTATTTGTTGATACAATTTATCAAAAGTCTTTATAAGGAATTTAATTTTTATATCAACGTCTTGTAATTCGTTATAACATATATATATATACTGTATCAATTTCATTTTCAAGTATTTCAACTCTTTAATTAATTAATTTTCAAAAATCACATAACAGAAAACAGAAGTATGGATATTTTCTGTAGACAAAGAACTTTATTCGGTAATAACCAATATTTGCCCCCCAAATAAAACTTTGATGGAGATATACATAATAAAGTTCTTAAACAGGGGAGTATATGCTGACTTCAAGGCACTGAATATTTTCAAAATTACTGACGCTATATGTACGTAGTGACGTCACAAACATGACGTAAATTTAAGTTTTTTTTAATGAATTCTACGGAACAATGTACATATTTCGTCGATATTTTGAGTAAAAGTCACCGAGCGCATGTGTGTTCAGGATCAATATTTTGATATAATGTGTAGAATGATAATATCAATGAAATATGTCAATATATTGCGCTCTATATATTTTAAAGCTAAAATTGTTGAAATTTTGTCATTTTGTCCTCTTTCTGAAAAAGGTAGTTTGTGACGTCATAAAAACAAAAATTGTGGATACACTGCTTTGACACTATAATATTTTCTGTTAATTTTTATTTCTCACGCAGTTTATTGAGTTCAGCACATTTCAGGAAGTTTTCAAAATTTGACTTTTGTGGGGGCAAATATAAGCTATATACCGCATATAGTTCTTTGGATACATATAGGAAAATTGAAAACTGGTTTCCTTACCATTGTCGAATCCAGCAAATACATTGTCTAGATCTCCCTCTGTAACAAACAAATCTCTGTCCTAGTATCCTGGAAGTCACAATGTCCATTCCTCCAGCCATTGACCACTTCGTCACGTGACAACTGCCCGTCAGCTGATTACCAAGAAGAGTAATAATTGATATCAATTAGTCCCTTCACAGTAACTAAGGTACTACTCTTCTGCAGGGCAAACTAATAACGTTTGGTAGAGTTTTTACTGATAGATGATTAAATAAAGTTTTTAAACAACCGCTTTTACGTCATATTTCACCAAAGTGTATATCATTTTGACTTCCAAAGAGCAGTACCGCAGTTTTCGTGAAAGGTTCTATTATTTAACTTTGACATAATAGAGGCTTCAAATGTTTAAAACCTGGAAACTCTGTGTCAAATGTTGGTAGAAATATTTTTTTGAATTCTGCTTTGTCCAAGCCATGTTGGTGGTCAGCATTATACTGGTCAAACAATGCAGGACAATGCTTATGTCCATCGCCATCCCCAAACACGCAATGGACCAACCTTAAAAAAAGGTCAACAAGATCAACTAAGTAAGACTGGAAGGAATTATGGAAATATTTGAAACATATCTAACAGTTACAAAGAACCAGCACTTATATACAAATGACAAGAACAAGAAATCTACTAATTGAAATTGCGTATTTTTTGAGAAACTTTTTTTTATTCAAGAGACGTTCAGTACTGAGTATTTAAAATCAAACGTTGAAAATGCAACAATAAAACCTTAATTATTAGTGTTATTTAGCCTCATCTTAATAAATACTGTAGAGATAATATTTATTTACCACAAGCCTCTGAAAGAAGAAAGATGAAACTTACAATAAAATTGACAACGAAAGGAAATTTAGTCCCATCTTGCCGGTTTGTATAACACAGATAAGAACCAAATCCCAGAGATTGTAAAAGTCGGTCAGATATGTAATTCAAATTATTTAACTCAGGAATGACAAGGTCTATACGTTCACTCAATACCAGTACTGTTCCCACAATGTTAACTCTCATGAGAGATAACTATACCACACGGACAAACGCAACCTATACAATGATAACAAACCATGTCATATCATGCCAAAACAATAGAAATCTTGGCAATCATATAATGCATGCATTTGTAATGTACAAGATAATTTGAATATACCTCGTCTATTTGTGGCTATAGATTCATCAAAGGAACACTTGGAACATCTGAAAAAAGTTTGTAAACAATGGAAAAAAAAGATTTAACAAAAGCAACATTTATTGAAACCCAAATATACCACCCCAAAATTTGAAAGTATGAATTCATGTTTGCTCTGCTCCTATTTTGTATTGTTTTATGGATTTTTGATGATTTTGAAATACTGTTCGTTATCTCCATATGTTTCATACCATACTTTGGTGTGATACAGTGTACATTGAATTTCTATTTTCTTCTTATTTCAGCTATATAAATGGGTTATAGATGTAGATGAATATATGTCTCTTTTAAATCGACATGAAATTCACCATAAATTTGACATATGTTTCTTACATGTAGATATGATATATTTAAGGATTCCTTATATTTCCATTTCACTGTGAAATAAAATTGTAGATTTATATTTTGAAAATGTAAACATAGATTTAAAAAAGACATTTATGGCAACCTACCTGTTTCAACATAATTTTATCATAAACATGATGACTTCAGAAATTAATTCCCTTTTACCAAAAATAAGAAATGGAAATATATAATATTATATGGCTAGAAAAAGACATTTATGGCAACCTACCTGTTTCAACATTATATTGCAATATTATATTAAAATAAGTTTACGTCTCCGAGTTGATTCCATTTGCTGGAACATGTTCCACGAAGGAGTAATTTCTAAATCAAGTCAATGTATAGTGCAATAAGTTCATTGATTGGTTGTGTATTGTCTTTACGTTCCGCTTGAGGATTTTCACTCAAATAGAGACGTCACCAGATATCTACAAAGGTGCGTCCAATATAGACCTTCACACGGAAATTCAATACCACTGAGACTCAACCAAAAGTCTTCAAATCAAAACGCCGATTGCTTGGCGTAGGAACATTACTATGGAAACGATACTTATAAGTAGACTTTTTTGTATTCATATGAAGCATAATTCATTTTAAAAAAACTTCTATTTATATGAAAATAAGAGGTTTCTAGCTGGTACCTTGAATTCAACATTTAGATATATTGATGACTTCTTGTAAACAATAAACATTTCATTCCTTCACTGATTCGGTATTTCCCTTGAACTTGATTTACAAAGCAATATCAACGTCTGACCCATCCGTTTCATATTTGGAAATTTTAATAGGAAAAGCGTTAACAGTTATCAAGCAACAAAACATTATGATAAGAGTGATATATTCAACTTTTTCAGATTCGGCTTCCCTTATTGTTGATACACAAGATAATATTCGTTGATACACACGATCATATTAGTTGATACACAAGATCATGGTTGTTGATACACAAGGTCATGTTAGTTGATACACAAGATCACATTTATTGATACACAAGAGTATGTTTGTTGATACACACGATACACACATAGTTAGTTGATACATGTTTGTTAATATACAAGATCATGTTAGTTGTTACACCAGATCATGTTAGTTGTTACACAAGATCATGTTAGTTGTTACACACGATCATATTATGATACACACGATCATGTTGTGATACACAAGATTGATACACAAGTTCACATTTGTTGATACACAAGTTCACATTTGTTGATACACAAGATCATGTTTGTTGATACACAAGAGTATGTTCGTTGATATACAAGAGCATGTTCGTTGATACACGAGATCATGTTTGTTGATACACAAGAGCATGTGCGTTGATACACAACATTATGTTTGTTGATACACAAGATTATGTTAGTTGTTACACAAGATCATGGTTGTTGATACACAAGGTCATGTTAGTTGATACACAAGATCACATTTATTGATACACAAGAGTATGTTTGTTGATACACAAGAGTATGTTTGTTGATACACACGATCAAGTTAGTTGATACACACGATCATGTTTGTTAATATACAAGATCATGTTAGTTGTTACACCAGATCATGTTAGTTGTTACACAGGATCATGGTAGTTGATATACACGATCATGTTAGTTGATACACAAGATCATATTAGTTGATACACACGATCATGTTAGTTGATACACAAGATCATATTTGTTGATACACAAGAGTATGTTCGTTGATATACAAGAGCATGTTCGTTGATACACAAGATCATGTGCGTTGATACACAACATCATGTTTGTTGATACACAGGAGTATGTTTGACGAGCAAAAAGAATTCTGAAACGAAACACATTAAAATTGATAAAAAAGGATCCCAACAGTCTTGTTTCAAATCATCATCCGCAAATTCTATTGACAAAAGAATGGCTTTGCTTACAAATACCATGCATTGTTAAATCGAATGCTGACTAAAGTTTTCATACAAATAGTTCAACCATTATTTCCATTTGAGTTGTTAACATTTTTTTCCTTTCGGACGGTCTTGACAAGAAACTAACTGCGGATGTGTCAACAGTGTATTTTTATTTCTCCTTGTTTTTTTATACTACATCTGACGGTTAAAGCTCTGCTCCTGATTTTATCGTTCCAATGGACTTTTGAGCTCATTCGATCATTGTCTTTATGTTGTACAGAAATTGTACGGCAATTCTGACAGAAAATCATCAGTACTCGAACTACGTGAATTAAGATATCGTTTATTAAAAAATAATTTAAAAAGGTTTATTTATATATAAATGATTTGCTTGCTAAATACTATCATAATTAGCTCTTCTAATAAATAATAGTCAGGGTTTTTGTCTTCAATGTTTTCTTTCAGATCGAAAGACAATGCAAATCCCCTAATTTCAATAAACTGATGAACTGGACATTGACTAATCTCCTTGAACCAGTCACGGCTAATTCTTAAGTTCAGTCTTATAGAAATCATTGATCATCTTTCAATTTGTCGTTACTAAGAAGAAAATTTCACTCCTCCAAAGTCAAATCTTCTTTCTGTAATGCCGAAAGGAATGTTAAGATACATCGGAATCAGTGACTGTTATGTTAGAGTCATGTATTTTTTGTCAGTTGGTTACAAGCTTTTATTCAACAAAATGTGTAGGTTGGCTATTTTCTTTGCGTTAACAGGTAGGCAATCAATTTTGTACATAATCTTCGTAAATCTATAAATCTTTATAAAAACGTTGCATAAAATTGTACTTTTATTTAAAAAAAAACACATGCGTATGTATTAATACCTGTTAATTGTTTCTGAAGAAGTATTCCTTAATTCAGCGTTGATGGCATTTCAACTTTTGGGGTTACATTCCCTGAAATATATCTGTCTGTCTTATTAATTGTCAAGGTATGGACAGTTAGGAGTTATTGACCTTGTGTCCTTGAGCGTGAATTTAACCTTTAAAATCTTTTAAATACGTTTTATCTTTCCATGTCATTGTAATGTTCATTGAAACTTGATTAATTAATTGATTATTTGAAAATGCCCGTTTCATCCATAACTTGTTGATTGTTAATAAACCTTTTATAAAGCCTGAACCCATGGCCTTTTAAATTCATCTTACTTTTGATACATTTTGAAATATATTGTCGTTAATATTAAATATGTAACAAGAGTTTTCATTAGGCATAAGAACACTAACTTAGTGATCTTGAACTAGCCCTTTTCAAACTTACTTTACATATAAATTTCGCAGCAAGGTCGCTATGTTTGACATAAAGTGTATTAATTTTTTTTCTTAAAATCAAATGTGTTGCAAAGATATTACTAAGGAGTCAGTTCAAGAGCGTAGCTTAAAGTATCAGTCACATTATCCAGCGATGGGGTATACGATGAGAAACCGATGCGTTTTTTAATGAAAATGGCGTGGTTGCCGGCCGAGCACCACTAGACATCGCACGGTGACTGAGGCCATTTTACGAATCGGTGGGGTCATCGGTAGGAAATAATTCGTAGTTAAAATTCAGCGATGTCTCCAACGATGCCTCACATCGCTCCTCATCGGCAACCCATCATTAACACATCTTTAGCGATGTATGGCCGAGCATCGTCCAATATCCGTTGAAACACACTGGTGTTCAACAGATAACGGCGATTATTTGTTCGACCAAACAATGGCCCGTAGCATGCAAATTATAATGTACAATGTAATATACATCGGCCGATTATCCTGGAACATCGTTTTAATGAATATATTTTGAATTTTTAATGAAATTAACAAGCACTTTCAGTATCATAGAAGATTGTTTAAAAGTCATATAGATTCTAGGCATAACCCAGTAACGCTTAAGAACGCACCCTTTATTTCATATCAAAATAAATATTTTGAAAATGAAATTAACAAACATCAATATCATAGAAGATTGTTTAAAAGTCATAAAGATTCTACAAGTAAGTAAGAACCCTTTATTTCATATCAAAATAAATTTTGTTCAAAATTATGAAGAATATCTTTCTACGTAAACATAACTGCATATTTTAACTTCCCTTATTCCCTGCCTAGAAAAAGATTAAATCATTCTTTCAAATTTCATCATTGAAGTAATATTTACAATTTCATTTAAATCTTTTGTCATTTCATAGATATTAGCTATAACATCCCAGCAGAATTTGTGCAAAATCTTATGCGTGAAATGAAAAAAAAACTGTTGTTGTGGCCTTCAACTCAACATTTAGATACTAGTATATCGACGACGAATTGTCAATGAACAATGTAATTTCCATTCCTATGTCGATTCGATATATCCTGGTGAGCTTGCGATAAAAGATACCACAGAGTCTGACACATCTGTTTCATACTTGGATATCTTACTTGAAAAAGACGTTAATTGTAATCTAACAACCAAGCTCGTTGATAAACTTGATGACTTTAACTTTTCTATCGTCAACTTCCCTTACTTATGCAGCAATATAGTAAATTACCTTCATCACCTGCATACGGCGTTTATATATCTCAGTTGATTCGATACGCAAGAGCATGCTCTACGTATGAACAATTTCTAAAACGAGGTAAAATATTGACAAACAAGTTGATGAAACAAGAATATCAACACGTAAGTTCGTAAGTTCTTTTGTTTATACAACGACCTTGTCAGTAAATACAATATATCATCGAGTCAAATGCTCATTGACGTTTTTCATACTAATTGTTAGTCAATTATTTACACACTGAATTGAAGACGGATTTTTCCTTTATTTCCCGATCATGTGTGACCGGTCCGCAGGGGATGCTCACTTTTCCAGGCACTTGATCCCACCTCTGATGTTTTAGAGGTCCGGATTTGCTATGCTTTCATTTTGTATTGTTTTATGGACTTTGATATTGAATACTGTTCGAATTCTTTATCTGCATATCCTTCATCCCAAACAATGCTGATGAATTCCACGCAAAATATATATAACGTATTTCATTTTCTAATTGAATTCAGGAATCATTGCTGGCGAAGTCCCAAAGCCGTTGTACGTATGGCCACTTGGAGACAAATCTGGTTTGCTAGAGGTTCTTTCTGACGGACCTAATATGGTAAACAATGGCAATCAATGTTTCATATTCGGCGAGAATGCCAAGAGCATTCCATACCAAGCTATGAAGATTGGAGACCCCAACAATCCGCATCTATCGGTTGTATTAGATGAACCAAAGTCATTTCGGGATCTTGGAATTTCAATGTACGTCAAACCCGATGGTAAACCCAAAGGGACCCTTCTCCAATACAAATCGGAATCAGCAGAGAAGATAAGAATTGTTTTCGACCCTTATGACGGTTTTGCAGTGGTTTCCTTCCGAGATGAATACGACATCCCGGCAGGCATTGTTGTGGCTGATAATTTGGCACCTGCAGACCGCTGGACTCATATTTATATCCAGCGTTCATATAAAACAGGACGGATTACTGTTTACGCTAATGACCAGAAAGTGGTGGACGAAGATGACGAATTTCAGGACGAAATTTCACTTCCGGCTTCAGGTACCCTCCGGATTGGGAACACAGACCCACCAGACTCCGACGGAGATCAACAATTTAAAGGTTATGTGTCCTGTCTCCAGATATTTACAGAAAACCTGAAGCCGGATGATGTCAAAGAGGTTTCCAAGTTCTGTCTTCCCGAGGAGTGGGCTCCGAGCTCGCAAGGTAACATTGCTTAATTGATCGCAAATAAGTTCCTTAGATATTAATTTAAAAATATTGAAAATGTTCCTATTCATTTACGTTTATTGTTAATCAAAGTAAATTATAACGAGGACGGAAAGTGAATGCGATGTAAATTGAAAGAAAAATGCTGCTTTCATAACCATTTCATCTCCTGTGAGAAAAACTTATATTACACCTTCTCTTCTGGAGGATAAGCAACAAAGAAATAATAAGTTACATATAAAGGGAATTGCCATTGTGTACAATAATTGCAATCTGTCTGAAATAAAAGTATAATGTATTCTTATCTAATAACTATTATTTTATTGCATAATAAAGATGATTTTTGTTTAGTGTACTTTGGTCCTGAAGATAAAACAACAGGAATCCGTTGTAAATCAGATCCACCTGAGCCCACAACAAGTAAACCGTCACCAAGCCAACCGCTGACGATGACCCATCTTGTAAATGAGCGGAAGTGGGAAGAGATTCGGCAACGATTTCATTGGAAAAACAGCGAGAAAGATAATGCCTACTTCCGTTTGTACGATCAGAATACAGAACCAGTTCCGACTATTGCCAATATTAGCGAAGTCAACGCTGTTGATCTGAAAACTTGTGCTCGACTGTGTCTGCGTGTGTATGGATGTATGTCATTTGCATTCACGTCAACAGGAAGTGATGTCAGAAAATGTTCACTTTTTGACTTAATTCCAACAAAATATAAGACAAAACAAGGTGTTAGGTTCTTCACTATCAGTACATAACTTTCCGAGATTGTTATTTCTGAGATTGTTAATGTCGTAAAGCTTGCAACATGCATTTGTAGATTATTTTTCTGAATAAATATTAATTGTAACAAAAAGGTTGGTCTAGTGTTCATGCTGTATACAAAAGTATACAAAAGTACTCGTATATTTTTATTTCAGCTAACCTGGCTTGAGGGAATATTATAGACGATATTATATGAAATAGGATTGATGTATTTTATTTTATAAACTAGAAATACATGATTAATCAACATTAGTGAATGAGACAGTGCAAAAATTATCATGGTAACTCAAGTTCACAATGAAGACTTTCATTTTATTGCTTGATTGAATTAAAGTACCTACATAAATGGCCCACATTAAGAAATCGTATATTTATATTCAAAATTCTAAATCAAATCTATACAATGTTTAACCCATGACACAGAACAATAAGTCGAAGGGCTATTTATAAAGTAGCTCTCTGATATAACCCTCACAATCACGTAGAACGAAGAAGAGAAAAGTAAGCAAAGAGGCAATTCGAAATACGTCGTTCGCTCCCAACATGCAGCGTTCATATCTTCAAAGAAACGAGAATCACATTCCTGGCGAGATTTGTTGAAATCATAGCCCTATGAAAGATAAAAACAATTTATTAACTTTTGATACTTTTGATATGAAAACATAAAAGTTTTGCAGTTATATATGCATCTCTACCTTTCCCCCCTGAAAATTAGAAGTTTAAGAATAATTTTAAAGTCTTTTGTCATAAGTTTGTTCATATATATATGCACGTTTTTGCAATAAATAAACAAGCATCCAAATAGTGATCGGGAGATTGTAGCGATATCCAGCTTCTACAGACTTAAGTCAATAATAAATGCAAATGTTTCTGCGCCAAGCGCTTGGAACTTCGAAGTAAAAGTTGCGGAAATTTAGTACGAGACCTTAAACACCTAGGTCCCGGTGTCTCACGACAGGCTTCGACACGATAAAAATCCCTCTGAAACTATCCGATGGCCCTGAGTGTCGAGTGAAAGTGTAGATTTGAAGCTTTTTTTAGCAACATGACCTCTTTATATGAGTGAAAAATTTTGAATAGGATGTAAAACAACATACAATCGATCAGTCTGCCTAAATACATTAACTACCATGAAGCAAATACCCTATTAAAATTAGAAGTATTTTCACCGTAGTCTAACCTTGAAGATTAGTAGATTGTCTGTGTTGAACATTTGTTTAAATACTAAATAGTAAGCCTTTATTTTTACACTTAAACTGACAACGGCCTGCCCCGCCTTCCTGGTCAATACATAGGAGCCCTGCCCACAAATTAGACTCGTCGCGCGCTTCTTGTCATGATCGGGAAATAATGGAAAGGTCCGTTAAAAAAGAGTGTTAATAGTTGCCTAACAATTTGTATGACATTAGTCAGCATATGACTAAATGATGGATTGTACTTAATCTGACAAAGTAACTGTATTGACGAGGCTGCTGAAATTCTTGGTTCATCAACTGTGAGGAGGGACTCTTGTGTGCATGGTTTCTGTCCAAGTATGTTTACTTATATGTCTTATATATTAAGATCTGTTGTCAATTAACAATGGGAATTTCCATTCCTGTGTTGATACTATATATCCTGGTGATCTTGATATAAAAGATACCAAAGATAGGTATATGAAATTCGGGATTTTATTTGGCGCAAAACACCAGGACCGAACTCTCATAGCTTAAGTGCACTCATCCTTTAACCCCCTTCCCCGCAGTCACGCATTTTAACGCATATACCATTTCCTGTTTCTAACGCAAAATGATGTATTTACCGTTTCCCCGCAATCACGCATTTTCACGCACTTTAAAAAGTTCACTTAATCTTCAATTTATTGTCAAATTCCAACTATTTTATACTTGCTTAAATCTCATAAAATAAGAAAAGTTATTTTCTGATTAAAATATTACTTCATAATATTATTTACGCTAAACTTTAGAGAAACTTGTACCCCGCTGTAAAGTGCTTGCGGGGAAATGGTAACGTAATATTTCTATGACGCGAGGATTCAGTGTATGTTGCAAAACAATTCATTAAGTTGTAAAGAGTTAATCTGATACCATCGCTTAGGGATATTGTCTTACTGATTTTATCGATATTCATTATCTTTATTAAGAATCCCTTCTTAATAAAACCTTTCTTTAAAACGTTCTTTTTTCAATTCTAACATTGATAAAGAAAATAGAAATCTTGTGAATCGATTGATTTGAATAAAATTCATATCTTACACAAAAGTAGCAAATGTCATGGATTTTACAGGCGTCCTCAAAATGGTCTGTGTACCAAATGTCAAGGTCAAGAGGCATTGTACAGCCATTGACATAAGTTGTGTTGTTAGTATCGCATAGATCAACTGTTGTGGAATGTCCGGTAACCTCCATCACAAATAATGATAACACGAGGAACTGTAACATTACCGACCAGGACAGTCCTGTAAACAGAGAGATCTTAAAGCTCAGATTGCATCAAGAAACGTACAGTAACATCATAAAATAAGCATAACAGAAAATCACAAGGCTTGACGAGAGAGAGAGAGAGAGAGAGAGAGAGAGAGAGAGAGAGAGAGAGAGAGAGAGTTAGTTACCATTAATTTACAATGAGGTATTTCCATAACTGCCCATCGATTTGAAATACTTCTAAACTGTATAATATAACTATTACAAGGAAGGATACAACTTGTCAGTGATAAATATTTAAATCAGGTCCTTCCGTTTCTATTATTTTCTATTCGCTGTCATCTACACCTCAGAGTAAGCCATTCATCATCCTGTTTTGTAAGACCCAGAGCCCTTGCCTTCATAACTTGCCAGAAGGAAATCTTCATGTAATCACTTCGCAATAATAGTATGCATCGTAGTGTTACTGAATTACATCGTTTTTATTTTGTGTTTCTATAAAGATGAAAGTCAAATATAAATATACATATATAAATCACAAAAAGTGAAAGATTGAAAAGTAAATTAAGAAATCGCTAAGAATGATAATTTTTCTGAATATTTAATTAATTGGTCAGGCCACACAGAAAAGCAAGGTACACGCGTTCAAAGGGACTTGCCTATGCCTCAGCATAAATTCCCAGGTATGAAATATCCACTCTTCTGATTTGAATTAATTTCTGTCCAGTCAGCACGATTCATAACCAGTCCAGATTTTTTTTTAATAAAACGCCTACATGCTTCGGCTATGAGAACAGATTCATTCAGTATGGAATAGTTTATGATCATCCCTGTCCTTTGGATATTTTGAACAAACTGAATCTCCAACTCCGTATGATGCTTCATATTAAAATGACTAATCATGGTTTTAATCTTGGGAAGATTTTTAACGTTTGTATAATTTAAAGCCAGTAATATGACCAAACGCCTGCTTCAGGGAGTTAGGATTTGTACTTTGAGTTTACACTAGCTGTATTAGAATGCTTCTGTATTTTTTACGTTTAAGGTATTGAGAGCAATATTTTAAAATTATTACGTATCATATCTTAGATAAAAATTTGGGTTCCTGTTGCTGTCCATCCATCTCCAAGATTAAAATTTTGACTTAAGTCTATTTTCAGTTTTTGGTTTTCGAGACAGGGGTTATCTGAGTCTACAGTACCAGAGAATGCTTTTGTATCAAAATCTCAAATTATGGTTTTGTTCTGTTAAGAAGGGCGATTAATTGATATGCAAGAGCATGCTCTAAGTATAAACAACTTCTTAAACGAGGTAAACTATTGACAAACAAGTTGTTGAAACAAGAATATCAGCAGTCTCGTTTAAAGTCATCATTTCGTAAGTTCTATGGTCGATATAGTGACCTTAGAAGCAAATAAAATTATCATTGAGTCAAATGTTGACTGACGGTTTTCATACTTATTCTTAGTTTCTTATTTATACAATGAACTGACAACGGATTCTCCGTTATTTCCCGATCATGACAAAAAAGCACACGGCGGGTTTGACCGGTCGCCAGGGAATGCTCACTCCTCCATGGTACCTTTTCCAACTTTTGATGTTTTGGAGGTCCGTGTTTGCTCTGCTCCTATATTGTATTTATTGTATTTTATGGACTTACGAGCTTGAATACTGTTCGTTATCTTCAATATTTCACTTCACTAAAATATTACCAACAATGAAGGAGAAAGTTCAGGAGTACTGTACAAGAGTATACTTTAAACAGTTATTGACGTGCAAAATATGTCTAGTAGACTTGTTACGCGATCTCCCTTTATTCATGAATAGTCCCGGCTGAAAAATCTACTACTTTTTAGCACTTTATACAACCATTCACCACGAGAAATTGAAATATAACTTTCTGGCATCAAAGGAAGTTGCTTTTTCATAAAAAATGGTTGGTCTTCCTGTTAGAATGCCAATGGGTTTCAATTGGGCAAAGTTATTAGCAGATATGGTTTTGCATTCATATGAAGCGGACTTTATTGAAAAACTTCCAGATGAAAAGAAAACATTTGCTGTGATCTTCAACTCGACATTTCGATAAATCGATGAAGTATTTTTAATAATGAATAGTTACTTTCATAGATATGTCCACTCGATATATCCCAGTGAGTGTGAAATAAAATAACAAGATACCACAAAGGCTAACATATCTATTTCATATTTGGGTATTCCTACTTAAAGCTATTAATGTTAGTGTAACACCAAACCTCTATGTTAAACGCTATAACTAAACTGATAATTATAAAGCATAATACCAAGTATTGGAACATGTTTTAAAGTATAAAAGCTAGCACACTTTTCTTTTCATGTATGATATACAAATAAATTTAATTATAAACATATTTCACGTTCTCTTTGTTCTTAGGTATGTCCATTGTGTTCCTGTATCTGTTATCTTTCTTATTTTAAATTTAATTTACATTATGTATATCAACATCAAGAACACAACACGGGTAAAAATTTCAGAATCAACAGGTGAATACTTATAATGTTTTATACCATCCGAAAATGTATAAAAACCGCATTAATAAAATATAATGCTGCAAAACTCAACAAAGATTTAAAATTCAAACTATTATTTAGAAGGAGACTCAGAAAATGATTTCTGTTCTAGATCTGTTTGTAACGGAGATAATTCAGTAATGTGATCATCTGCGTCGTCAGGTTTAGTTAAATTTGTAGACCTCGCAAAGATACTGAATCCTCCAGATCTGCAAAGAATATGTGTAAAAAGTGCAAAATATATTCAAAGAAATAAAAAAAAAATTCAAAGCTAATCAAAGTGTAATAGTGTCCTGATAGCCGATCCAAATAACGCTTATTTATTCTATAAAAAAGTATCATAAAAGTTTATTTCGAACAGTATAAATTTTAACCCGGATTTCCTTCATCTTTCTATTCATGTGTTAATAGACCATTATTGTAAGGAGCACTTATAAATAAAAAAATCAATTATACAAACCTCTGTCTGTTCCGTATTAAGAGGAACGAAATAGTTAAAAGGATAATAATAATGAGAAGAATTCCGACTCCAACACCAATGTAAACAGATACATCCGAAGAAGTTGAATAAGCAGGAGTAGACATAGTCGTGCTACTTGTATAAAGATCCGTGCCATTCTTTATACAAGATGCATTTCCTTGAGGTTCCCAAATTCCATTCCTGCAGGTAACATTGTTTACACTACTTAATACAATATAGCCATTTCCACAAACAAATACTGCAGAAGAGTTTTCTAGATTTCCATTGGTGGATTCCCAGGCTCCATCAGGAACTGTCGGCAAGTCACTACAAGTCAAAACTGTAATGGGATTGTATATTTTAATTTCATTACAGTTAACCAAGTCTCAGGTACTGGTCTCTTCTAAAATCATATAAAATGTATTTACTATGTGAATGTTATTTTACCTATTACAGCTGCCTGTTGAGATTCCTGAAACTGTTTCTGGAATGTTCGGGATTGCTCCGCTACGTCACGTGATCCCGTGACAGAGAAATCAAAGATACAATCCTTGTCTTCTCCACACACCGCCCTCACTTCCTCTGTTACCGACACTGAGGACTCAAACACGGGCCGGAATGATGGCTGATGATAGTCCGCAAAACTCTTACCAGGGTCATACGTGAACAGGGACTCCGTCTCATTGATGGCCCCTACATAATTATACAAACGAAAACAAGTGTTTCTCATACTGCATATGTGCTCTTTGTGCTGATTTACAAGAATTTCAAATTACCAGTAATATTTATTGAACAATTTTTGAAAAAATTGTAAAACCTTAATTATGGTATAAAGAAGTGAAAAAATGAAGAAGTAAATTCATATGTACATGGGCCACAATGTTGACTTTAGTAACTTTGGCCTTGCGGTTTTTTTTTCACCAGATTTTGCCCCTTTGTATTATACATAGTGATACATCTATCACCGTGTGAAATTGACTGTTTTACTTTAAATTCATTTTGGACTCTAAATGTTTATATCTAATTTTTGTTTTAATATTATTTCTAATCTGAAATTATTTTCTTTCACAAATTGGATTTTTCCTATCTTTCTTAGCTAAGTTGCTAATTGATAATTTAATTACTGAGTGACACTTGTCGGCTACCAAAGGCGTTTATGCCCAAGGACTTTTTAATCACTTTTACAAACAACATGTACTTATTCAATTATCGGCCTTCTTTATGTCCATGTCATCAAAGCATTTAATTATTTGTTTACTGTATCACTTTAACTCATTGTAAACACCTGTCATTTTTAACTCATTGTTCATTTTCCCATAAATACCATTGTCAAATTTTACTTATCAGTTCGGAGGCCCGACGCATTACTGGCCACTTCCGTCTGTGTTCCCCGCTTGTATTTCTTGAATGTTAAAATTGTTGTCCATAATTTTAATTACATGCACTTATTAATAAACTCGGAAACCAGATTACTCGTTACTTTGGACCTTTATATGTGTTATCGGGAAGAGTCCTTGGAATACGGCTCTACTACTTCCGGCCAACGACGCCACTCACTTCCCCTGCCAACATTCCCTCTTGCCCGATCAACGACACATCCTTTAGACCCAAACTACGTGGTTATATTTGGTGGAGAATCCTAAGGGTAATTTACCCAGGGCTACTGCATATACTTTGTTGTAGTTAGATCCAAGTACTCTCATACAGCTAAGCGACTTCATACCAGAATTCCCCTAATCATGGACTTATTTCCATTTGTTCCTGCTTGGATGCGACCAGTCCAACAGCGCTTCACCTTGCAACAATGTGGACGCTGCGGATTAAGACACGGCTGGGCCGTCTGCAACGCACTGACGTCATCATGTTTTAAGTGTGGAAGAAGAGGACACTTTGCTAGAATGTGTAAAACACGGACTTCCCGTACCATCTGTGCCGTCTCTTCATTACCGACGCGCTCAGTCGAAACACAGACTGACAAAACATGTACGGTGCGAAAGAAATCAAAAAGGAAGCAAACCAGAGACAGAGAAAGAATAATAAAATTTCGGACAACCCACAAAGAAAAAGAATCTTTAAGTGAAATGCCTTTCTCTTCAGTAAGTGTCGTTGAAATTCATGCTGAAACTTTGGAAACACAAGCTGAAAAGTTCCGGGAACAGGCGGCTCTCTACAAATCGGATGTTCGTCTTTATAAAAACAAATGGATGTGCGAGCGGAAAACGTCTCATGTTCGACTATCGGAGAAAGACAAGACTATCAGAGAACTTCAGGAAAAACTTGTAGCTGCGTCAACTGAGCTTGAGGAGTCGAAGAAAGCTATAAAAGCCATATCTGACTTTGAGTTTTCAAGCCAAGACCAAAAATCACAGATTTTTTCCCTGCTCAAGCAAAACAAGCATGCTGAACCATTTCTTGCCTATAGAAGAGCAATTTACAGTGGTCCGCCCCGTGGAGGCCGAAACCAGCATTCAAGAAATTCAAATGTTGCCAGAAGAGCTCCCACCAACAGTAGACAAACTTCGAAACACGAGGACGTGTTTCGGGGGGCGACGGGGTACTGTGACCGTGTGAAATGAGCCGATTTTGAGTCACAATTATATTCTTTGATAGTGCTAAGTAAAACATAATTAAAGACCGTGACCGCAAGACATTTGATGCCACCTGTACCTGAGTGAAAGTGCTGATTATTATTCAATTAAATTAATTATGTCAATTATGTCCTTCTGCTTTGAGTAAATCTCGATTGTAATTGTTTACTTCATCATTGTTATAAATTGGTTGTTTAATACAATGATCTTCAGTTGGAAACTGGACATTGCACCGTCCACGCCGACATACCGATCGTGTAGAATATGCCAAGTTTGGACCGTTAATAAATTAATAAACGAAGTACCGACTTGTGTATTTCTACCGGTTATATTGGGAATTATCATAGGTTCCCATTGACCCTCCCAGATTTTCTATTTTTAGAAATCCATTTCAACATTTATTTTTAATTTTTAAACTGAAACACTTTTATTTCATTAAATTCTAATTTTCTATAAATTCATTTATTTTCAAGTTTTAATATCTGTTTAATATCCATTTTACTTAAATTCCTTTGTTGTGTACAGACTCTTGAATTATATTGCGATAAGTATATCTTACATTCTTTTTGACAATTTTCCTTTGAAATCTAGAGAAATCAATTAGTGTCACACAAATCAAAGAAGCCGATTCACTCTGTTAATTTATTAAACAAACTTAATTTCGCACTTGTGTCATTCGCCTTTTTTCTCGATATCGTAGATAAGCCCTTAGGCAAATCGCGCTTTTTGATGGCACTTTTGAGCCCATTGTTCTTCTCACCTTTTCAATGCAATTATGTTGACAAGATTAACTCAAGTTCCGGACAGGGGACGCTATCTTGTATTGTCCGATCACTTTTTCCTCGGACTTCAAGAAATAAACACGTTAAATTCTACTGACGTCTCCTGTCCTATTTTACAGGTAAATTATGTTTTACTTATCTATCTTTTTGTCAACATTTATTACATTTTATAACTTGTACAATATTATATGTTTAATTTTCATTATGCAAATACTTCTGTTAACAGAACATTTTATTCGGAAAGTTGTCGAAATTCATAATTGTTTATTGTAGGCTTTATTTTGTGATAATTCATTGTTAGAATTTTAGTTTCTTTATTTGCATTACAAATTTACCCAAAATCATATATTTCATCTATTGAACACAAGTTTTGTATTGTAAATTGTTAAAACGCCTTATTTCGGAAAAGCGATATTCAGCCATTTTGATTTTCACTCTTACAATTACATCCTGTACAAAAATGAAACAACAAACATTCGGCTTTCAAAAAGAATCGTTAACTGGCATTCAGTATGCAAGTTTTTCTATTGTAAGTAACTTTTATTGTTTAATTAGTATTTCACATGCTCATTCAACTTGTAATGCTGATCTCTATTGCAAGATTGTAAGATTTCATTGTTTTACATGCGACCTCAAAGCTCAGTACATATGTACTTTTCTCGTTATCATGTAACCAAGTAGTATTATAGTTTTGTAGCATTTTTCATGTAGTTTGTGTAGATTTCGTTGAAGCGTCCTTTATTTGTATGTTTGTTTAAGAATCATCCCCCCTTTTCTAAGCTACCGGAAGTTAAGATCTTTTCACCGGAAGTCATTAAGTGTTAATGTAAACAAAGCCATGTGCTTATGTTTTGGTCTGTATTCATCTGTATGAAATAATATCTCTCAATGCCAAGCGAAGTTTTATTGTTTGAGTAAATTTCCCCATTTTAAATTTTATTTCCATTCACATTCTTATAAGATTTCATTTGTATCACTCAATATCTGTAAAGTCAATGATGTGCATTTTTGTTTTAATGGTGCCCTTACACATGAAACTATTGTGTCACCACACATCTTATTTTGTTACTTGCAGTATGCTTTTATATAATACATTTTGGCAATGCTAATTATCTGTAAACAAATGTGTAACCTAATTATTGTTTTAAAGGTGTACTGAGCAGTAAAATTATCTGCGCCACCGCATGTTTAAATTTTTACAGTGGCATTTGCTAGTATTATTTTGTGACTCAATGATTATCTTATACACTTTTTCCTCGGACTTCAAGAAATAAACACGTTAAATTCTACTGACGTCTCCTGTCCTATTTTACAGGTTCAAGCTTTTAATTTATCACTAAATAACCCAGTGATACATCGGGGGTATTGATTTGAGCGACTTAGAATCTAAACTACCCAAGAAATCTTCCATGTAAGATTAAGCATTTCTAACCCTGTGTTTTTTCAGATGTTAATAATTTTCCCTATATATTTTCTGACCCATGATTCTTGAGAAGAAATGATTTAAGTGACACAACCCTATGTTTGTCTTTTCTTGATAATTTCCCATTGTAAGAGGGTTTTGTCGTTTACGTTTTTTAAAATAATTTAATATCCCCTCATCCCAAGGGTTTTGGTTCATTTGTCCAGTAGTTCTTGAGAAGTTGAAAATGTGAAAACTTAACAGACAGAGGAGAGGGACAGACAGACGGACGACGGATAATGGGTGGTCGGAAAAGCTCACGAACTTTCAGTTCATGTTAGTTTAAAAGGATTGCTTTCAAAGTAGATCAACATTAGGCTTCTTCTACATTCCTGTTTGAATAATGCTGTATGTAATCCATTCGCAATTTGATATATTATATATAACACTTTAGATATTTTTCTTGATTTTCTCTAAAATGATAGGACATTATAAAAACTAACTAATTACACATACACGACATTCCAAACTCATTGAATATCAACACATCTGTTGCATTTTCAGGTAGTTGTTGATGTGTAGAGGAAAGTAGGTCATTTGAGAAATTTCCATCATAATTCCCAAGTAAACCTTTTAGTTTTCCTGAAAAATAAAACGAAAACTACAATGATTTTTTCCCTTAATTCTTTGAATGACAATTTTCAAGTTTTAGGAATGATTTATAACCTCATGAAGAAATTTGTAAATACGTTGAAAATTAAATTTTAAAAGGTATATGTTTTCAGTGCTCCTGCATCTTTTTTTTCAGAAGAATGACAACTCTAATATCAACATTTTTTCATTTGTGTACACTTCCATTTATTCAGAATGTCAAGATTTTTCAAAATAAAATACAAATTTAAGAAACATACCTTTAATTTCTTCTCCTTGAACTACCGGAGAAATGTTTATTATTTTCTTCGATGCTTGAATACTAAACGCGATTTTTATGTCTTTAAATGATACCAGTAGTGATTTGTCAGTACTATTGTCTTCCACCGGAAGTAATATTACGGTTACACCTATATAAATGCAAAAAATAAATAAATAAATTCAAATCTAAACACAATTCTTATTAATACGATAGCGCCAAAATTAATTGATCGATGTTGTTATACGAAGCCTTTTAAATTCATCCAAGTAGATTCCTCAAAATCAAGAAGCTGTCCATTTCTAAGAACATCAGCTGTTCTAATCGAGTTGAGTCGTACTTCTATTCGATCAGAGCTGTTGATATGTTCCATCACTAATGCCGTCGCTACAGTAGCTTTCACTAAATCTCCTTAAAATACAGATAAAAACTTTCAATTTCCAATATCTTATCACTGACAATTTCTTTAACACAGATTTGAACATGTATAATCCTACCATTATCTTTCCGGAACTGTTCGAAGCGTACTTGACTTTTGAACGAATCGTCCTCTGTGTATATGTATACGAACTCTCCGGCTCCGTTGAACGTATAACCTAGTCCGTCTAGGGTAGTCATATGAGGGTCACCGCTCGTTCTCGCTGAAACAGAAGAGAACCTGGTATGAAAAAATAGCTGTATGTAACCAGGGACTTATGAATAGGTTCCTGTTTTAATAGGAAACTTAGTAAAATAATATTCCTTAAATGTTTATATGTAGCTATGTTAGCTAGAATGTTTCCCCATTCTGAACATTGTGACAAAAAAATCTCCCATATTTCCTGGCAAAAATTATTCAGGCTAAGTATCTGAATTTAAATCTCTGCTGAGAAATATTACTTATTTCTGAAAGTTCCCAAAGCTTTGACTTTTTTATCCTTAAGTTGAGAGAATGTAAAGATTATTGCGTATTTTTTCATGATACATGTACAATTAAAGTGTCAAATTGTCAGTTTATATGGTGAATTTTAGTGATAAAAGTATAAATTTACCGATCATAGAATTAAAAATATAGCATTTGTTCATTTACAACTTTAAGTGGGGAATATGAAAGTTGTCTAATATGCTACCGTAAGTTCGATAAAAGTATCTTACCTGGCCTTGGAGGTTCGTAGTTTTGACAGGAGCTGTATTTTCGTATTTTCAGAAAGTCTTGGCAGAGATTATACGTGGTATTCTCCTGATTTGTGTCTGATTGCATCTGTGAAAATCGACAGCATTGCAAAAACGGCACAACGTCATGATAAAAGTTTGAAATGTATGGAACGTTTTCAGGTTTCTTTCCGAGATAGTGGAATCGCTGAAGTGTGCCGCCCTCCTGGACTCTTGAATCAATGAGGTTTCCCTTGGCATTAAAGCAGCATACGTTGTCCATTCCATTTTTGCTGTAGGAAATACCATCTTCATTTACAAATTATTATTATGAAAAAAAAATTAAAAGTGTGATTTTTACCTTAAATAAAGGGAAGATGAGCAGCGTTTTTTGACTGACAGATTTATCAAATGAAATATATGAAGAACAGCTTTTGAAAGTGAGACAAAGAAACTGTTCATATGAGCCAAATAGTGATATTGAGAAATACCTCGGTCCAGAAAGTCTAACACAGTGTCTGGCATCTCGTCGGTATCGACAGTTGACCTTCTGTTTTGATTTGATTTGGAACCTGTTACACTCAGGATCGGGTTGATATTTCACAATATCCAATATGGCCTGCTGGAGTGTGCAGGGACAAGGTCCGACATCTAAGTCTGTAGACACTGTCTCACTCTTAATCCAGTTCTGACATGCACGAATTTCCTCATCCTTTGATTGATATATTGGAAATACGTCAGACCAGATTCCTCTCGGTGGCCTAACCAAAGATTTTATCATTATATTGTCAATATGTTGAAAGGATTAACTTTTATTTCATGGAAAAATATGATTAATTCTAAGTAACGAGCATTAAGACAATGTCTCTAAGCAATTTTAAAAAAGTAACAAAACGTTGACAGTAATAAAAGAGATGAAGTTTACATTTTAAACTTAGTCTCCACACGAGAGGTAACTCGCAGTAAAGCCACGTGATGTGTCACATTCAAACTGAAAGTTGTCATGCACTCAGATTTAGTAATATTCTTTTTTGCGATAAAGCTTTCAAACTTCAAACCACTGCTTCCTAGCTGAAATAAACACCATTATCGAATTATGTTAACTTTGCTAATGCAATAGATTTTAATATATATATATATACTTAAACTATCGACAAATTATGAAGGAAATATTAAAGTTAAATTTTGAACGAAGTATCTTTCCACTTTCTTAGATAATCTACTCACTGTGTGTGCTTACCTGAAGAGTGAATACGTGGAGATCAACGGCACTGCTGTTCTCAAGTTCTGCCTCGTTTTCATCCCAAGTAATAAGGTGTTCACCATTTCCCCAGATGTCCGGATTAACTCGATTCACAAGAACTTTGCTAAATGCAGGATTTACTAAATGAAAACATGATTAATGTATATACTGCAACATAAAAAAAAATCAAACATAAAGTCGGTTTTAATGTAACATGATTGCAAGAATTCAAATTTAGTCTTTTGCATTGATAAAAAACCAACGGTAGTATACATATTCAATGAAATAAAAAAATACACCTAGTGGAAGATTACTTTGACTTCTGACAGAAAATATATTTAAAACATTTAAAAGCATCGTTTAAAAGCCCATGCGCCCTCGGGTGACAACCCTACTCAGACCTGATAATTGGTGATGTCTCCCTTCTAAACAGTCCATAATTGTATATTATTTACAAAGCATTCTTGCAATCAGAAATAGATCTTACTCTGTATGGAAAACTCTAATGTTGAAAAAGTTTTTACAAAGACCAATGTTTGCAGATTATTCTTCTTTCAAAACCAATACTTTATTTTAAATGTATTTTGAAGTATTTCTGTTGCTTCTACCAAAAATTCTTTTTCATAGAATTAACACTTACAAACAAAAAACATTCCTTCGAATGAGTGATCCAAACTTAGGCTGCTGAGATAAATAAGAACTGGGACATCGCCGTCACTATCAAACATTGGTGTGATGCAGACAAAGCTATACTGTGACGTCATTTCACATTTTATTACCCACTTAATACCAGAGAACCTGACTTTGAAGGAGGTGTACTGGTCCACACAAGGTCCACTGAATGTCAAGTGTTGACCGCCGAACATTGGCCCGCTCCTTGGCGTTATGATGACATTACCTGAACAGATAATTCGCATAGTTAAAAAATACTTACCAGAAGTCTTATTATTCTAACACTTACATACTTACCTCTATACAATAAATATACCTTTTGTGTTACACCCTCCTCCTCCTATTTCCGATGAATCTATTCTGAAGACGAACTTTCCGGGTATACCCACGTTGGATTTTTTGTTTATATTGATAATGTCTGCTGTACGTGAGCCGTTCACTACATAATATACTTTCCCATCACCAGCATTAAAACCAACCTATAATTCCAAAACATAAAAATTTGAATTAACTGATTTCGGTAGTATAGTTATGGATTGGTCATTCAAGAGAAATTATTAGGAATTTTCAACTCACATTTATCAACTCCTCCAAGACGAAGACAAAACAGAGTATTGCACAAACGTTTAGAACCCACGAATGATGGAATTTTAAGGAATAGTCTAGCTAAAATGTGAATTACTAACAGAACGAGGAATGTACTTTTAAGAATAAATTCATACGCTAATTGAGGCCTTTGATGCTCATTTGGGTGATTTTCCAACCGACCAATCAGTCGAGTGATGCATTACGAGTGAGTACTACAAAAATTACTTGGGAAATTTAATGCTTGAAAAAGAAATTCTTTTACTTGCTTTGCAAGGGTTATTTAATAGGCATTTCAATCACTTGTTAAATACGAATCTGCAATTTCCAAGCTGACAATAAGAAGCAATTGATAACATATATTCTATGATTAAATAGTTTTGGAAAGCAAAGGGTGTACAAATGGCTATGTGACATGTATTTCCATGTATCTGTGAATACACAGAGTCATAGCGCATTTTAGGGTTAACAGGGGTTAGGGTTATTTGGGGTTAGGGTTAGAGTTAGTGTTAGGGCTAGGGTTGTGGTTAGGGTTAGGGCTTTTTCTTAAATACATTGTTTAACCAAAATTTTGTGATACATTTAAGTTTGTACATGAGTAAAACCAGGCCCCAAGATCATGAAGCATCTTAAGCTTAAGTAAAAATCTTCATGTTGTACTTAAATGTTGTGGAAGTCAAGCAGATCAGAATTAAAATATGTTTTAGAATTGATTCACTTACGTGTTTTATTTACAAATTTTGAGATAAATTACCCAGGTAAGTAATTAATTAACATTTCACAGGCGATTTAAAATTTGACTTAAGTCAAAGTCTGTTTCATAGCCCTGGGGTCAGATCACACAAAAATGAAATGATACTTAAATGTTAATAGTTCCGTCATACAATAAATATGAAAATCCTTTAGTTTATATGGAGTATACAGTAAATATTGAGTTACCTACATAACCAATGACATACTGTTGCTAAGACCACCCTTAACCAGAAAAATAACTTCTAAATAAATAAAATAATTTCATATTGACATGACTGCACTTCAATACATTTAGATAATTTTGGTTAAAGGTGATCTTCATATAGAAAATGATGAAAATGCATATTTAATTTTTACTTTCATATTATCTGAAGATTTATCAATCTGTCTTAGGTTTATCCATACAATATCAATGACTTCTTGGCGCGGTGGTATGAATGCAGAATGAAACATATGGAGATAACAAACAGTACTCAAGTTTAAAAATCCATAAAACAATACAAAATAGGAGCAGAGCAAACACGGACATTCAAAAAATCAGAGATGGGATCAGGTGTCATGCAGGAGTGAGCATCCCCTGCCGACCGGTCACACCCGCTTTGTGCTCCTTGTCAGGATCGAGAAATAACGCAAAAACCCATTGTCAATTCAGCGTGTAAATAATCTATTAACGATTAGAATGAAAAACGTCAATCAGCATTTGACTCAATGACAAATTGTGTTTGCTGACAAGGTCATTGTATCCACCATTGAACTGACGAAATGATGATTGCCTGTTTCATCAACTTGTTTACCAACAATTTACTACGTTTAAGAAATTGTTCATACGTAGAACGTGCTTTTGTATCGAATCAAATGAGATATATGAAATCCGTGTGCAGGTGATTAAGGTATATTGCTACTTAAGTAAGGGAAGTGCAAAAATTTAAAAAAGTTAATATCATCACGTTTATCATAGATACACATTAACGTCTTTTGCAAGTAAAATATTCAAATATGAAACATATGTGTCATCTGTGGTATCTTTTATCTCAAGCTCAACAGGATATATCGTATCGGCATAATGAAAATTACTTTTGTTAGTTGATAATACGTCGTGAATAAAGCTAAATGTCGATTTGAAGGCCTTAGCAAGTGTTTTCTTCTTTTCATGCATAAGATTTTGAACAAATTCTGCTTCAAATGAATACAGAAATATAAATGTGGTAATTGTGAGTTCGAGCCCCCACGTGTCTTTAATTTATACTTTTTTTTATTTGTGCGTCTTGTCTACGTCTTTTTTGATATTTTTTTTTATGATATACATACCTTAAATTTATAATATGCACATTTCACTTTCAAGTTGGATCCCGGGAAAAGCAGCCCTAAACTATTTATTAACTAAAATTCATATCTACACTGTACTTGTTTTATTTTTATTATTTTGATTATGTTTTGTCTCAGAATAAGAGTATTGTAAAAGTAAAATGAATGTCATGTTACATACTTTTACTTGCAACTTTGAAAATGTAGCAGTCGTCCACAAATGATAACATACATTTGGTTATATCATGTGCATTGCTTGGTACAACACGATAGACGCTAAGGTTTCATGCGTATTGTCATGTTTAAAAATCCTTTGTTGATCATTTAAAATTTGAAAATGTACTAGGAATAATGTGTTTGTCATAAAATATAAACATCCAGTAAACCAGCATATGTTTTGTCATTCAGTCAATCGTTCTCTGTAAGCAACTATGTGCGAAATAATAACAATAGCCATACAAGGCAAATTCATATGAATATCCTTCTATTTTACTCAGACGCGCGCCTATGCTATTTATCTTTGTACAAACCAGGCCGAATTTTGCTATTTTAGGGACTTAGAATTCAAAGATAGTGCAGTTTTCTAAAACATCATAAACAAAACGAATTCTCGACACTATTATATTAGAAAGTATCATTTACCTGTGCTCTTGCTTGAAATTAATAGAATTATCGTAGATTTTTCTAATGATTCATCGTAGAAAAGGGGGGCACAGAGGACATAGTATTGACAATTTATCCTTTATACAATTGTAAAAGTTGTAGCACAGAGTGCAATAGCAAAAATTGTTAAGGTAAATATATTAATTAATCTCGTTAATCTCAGAATGAACTAATTAAGGAGAATCCAAATTGTTATTAGCAGACCTTTGATTGCAGTCAAACCAGTCAGAATTAAAAAAAAAACCCAATGTTACACGAATACTAAAGAAAAGAATGTTCTTTGGCCTTCACTTCAATATAACGTGTGTTATCAATTAACAATATTAATTTTTATTTCCATGTAGATACGATTTTGTCTCTTAATTTAAACTCAAAATAAAGATACCACAGAGTCTGGCACACGTGTTTCATTTTTAAAAAAAATTACGAGAAAAAGATATAATTAAGAAATAACCTAACAACAATTTTTTATGATAAACCCAAAGTATCCATTATTTATACTACAACATCCCATGATCAGCCAGATCTACATATGACGTGTATGTCTTCCAGCTGATTTTATATACCAGATCATGTTCTAAATCCGAAAAAATTCTAAAAAAAAAAATACATCAAAGAAGTTGATGAGAGGAAGAAATCAACAGTCTTGCCCAAAGTCAAACGTTGTAGAATTTTCTTGTCGATACAACGGCCATGTCATCAAACACAATCTACCACGAAGCCAAACGTTGATGGATGCTCATAATAAAAGTTTAAATGCATTATTTTTCAATTAATTGCCAGAGAATTTTTTTTCGCAATCTTTATATATATATTGAATGGAATTTTCCTTGATGACAATAATTTTCTGTCCCTGTTTTAAGGACACTATGTGCCAAGTTTAGTTGAAATTAACTTCGTAGTTCTGGAGAAGTTGAATACAATCAAGATAACGAAATAAGACCATTCTGATCATCTGAGATAAATTATTGCTCATACATTATGAAGATACCGAAGTAATAACATATGGAAATTTATTTGAAATCCCCATGATACCTTACCTGTGCAGGTTTCCCACCGAGTCCACTATCTGCAGTCCCACCACTTGCCGTTCCTGTCGTCCATTCAATGTTTGCATAATTAAATATGGCGAAGGAATGTTGTCCATTTGTAATCAGTACAGCTTGAAAGGTATTTCTCTGGAAAATATTTTAAAATCAATACGTAACAACACATGTGAAGATAATAAACAGTAAAACAATTTCAAAGTCCATTGAAACTTCAAACTATAAAAAAATGAGAGAAAAACTAAGCCATGCCATGAATGTGTACAAATAAAATTGTATTTTTAAAGTAAAAAAAGTGTACCTTTGAACAACCAACACTCGCAGAACATCCATAAAAAGCGACATTTTCCCATGTAGCTATAAAAACCCAAGCTGCATGGAAACGGTAGAAGTCTGGAAAATACGATATGATTTCATTGGAAACTTTGTCTAGCACATCCCGATCTGTAGTTTCTCTATACCAGACTTGTCCTCCCTGCCTTGTATCTACGTCCCCCCAGAAGGGAGTGATAAGTCTACGGTCCCCGTCCAGCGGAAAAGGATCCGGGGTGAATTGAGACACTGGGGTCAGGAATGAAATAGCACCATTGGTACTCACCTAGAAAAAATACCAATGCTATCTTAACATTTCTTAACATTTTTTTCTAGAGATAATGATCTTTGTCAAAATACTTACAATTAATTTGTCGTGTTGATGATTAAAGTAAGGGAATTTTGTGGTAATTGAAACATTTGGAGAACTTCCGTCATCATTTTTAGCCATGAGAGTATCCCCATTAATCCCTCCAAAAGAATAAAAGTCCGAAACTGAAAGTGACTCAACAGGTACGTGAAAAATTGTCCATGATATTAACAGGTAAAGCATATCCATAGCACCTTTATAAAATGGAGCAAGTCGTCTAAATTACTCTCATGACTAATGCAGTTTGTATTGTTAAAAATAGATTTAGAACATATCATTTAACGGTCACCTGTCACAGATAGAAATAAAGAAGGTTTTTGAATCGGGTCAAATCCTGTTACCCCCAAAACGAGAAACTACTAGGATTGCATAAACGTTATTTTTTTTTTTAAACTTTGTGCATTATTTGTGTTTTACCTGGGATTTAAAAACTCAAGCCGCCGACGTTTGTTTATCTTTCTTACCTTCCAATCAAACGTTAGAAAGAAAGCACTTGATGAGGAATGAAATGAATGACATGTTCTTTCACGTCATTAACGAATGTGCAATGCGACACCAGTTTTAAAGGAAAACAGTGTGCACATCCTATTTTTTGTTTAAGGCCCTTTTTGTTAAATGAAATTTAAGGGCAATTCTACTAAAGACTAACCTTTGTGAATTTCTATCTTGAGACCTTTTGGATTTCTAGTCTTTCTCGAGGGGAGATAAGAGTGAAATACATAATATGTCATATTTTTATAAATCTTCTTTTCTGAAACGTTGCTGAGCAAAGCTACACATCTCCAAAACTAACCCAAAAAACAGAATTTATTAACAAAAAAACTTTATATATTTTTTTCATAAGCACACTCACATTCGTGCACATTTGTACATGCTTTCTTTCCTATATTCTTATAAGATCCCCCATTGAATACTGGTAAACTCAGCTACTATTTGTCCTAACGCTACAATTTTTCAAGACATCCAGTTAGGCAACACATTCCGATGGCAACACTTAATGATGTTATATCTAACTAAAGTATTAATTATATATGTCGTTGTAAATAATTCAGCAATCAAATAAAAAATTAGGCAAATAAAATGAACTGTTTTATTGTACAATCAAAACAATCGCGATCAATTTCCGGCTATTTACTTCCGCCCAATTCATTTAATATAATTTATCCATAAAAAATCGAACAGAAAAATTGAACTTAAAGAAACATTCAGAAGTGATACAAGTTTCAACCAAAATTCTGTCGACAAGAAAGACTTAAGTAACTTATCTCTGCTCACGCAGGTATGTTACACATCTTATTAAAAACCAAAATTATATCAATACTCATTGATAAACAAGAATACTTACAAATACACGCTAAATCTCAATAAAAAATACAAAATACCTACCACAATCGGCTTTCCGTGCCCTTCTTATGCTTGTGATATTGCACGTTTACTAGTGCATAAAATGTACTGCCTATACTGCAAAACTCAGCTTCCCTCTAAATGTGTATCGCTCACACGGCAGCTCATCTGGGAATGTTCCAGTGAAAACTAAATCACACGATTTTTTAAAATCTACGAAAAATAGTTACAGATTCTAATGGACCAAATAGCTTACCTGATTGTCACACCCTCAGGATCTACGGGGCTAGACAAGTCTACATTTATGTGAAAGCTTCATTGTATCGGATAGAAACCAAAATTAGTGATCATAGTTTTTAAAGCATTGAATTGTACTGGAATGAAAAACATATCATTTTCTTATGATCAGGAATGAATAATTAATCATAAGAATATGAAAGAATCCTGCTGTCGAGTAGCTTCAAGTGTTGTAAGTATGTCCCCGGGTGATCAAAGTTTTCCACGGTGGCATAAAGATAAAGTTTGTTCAATTAGAACTGGACTAGAAAAATTTAAAACTTAATTGAAAGCTTTATTGCAAAGTACAGATTCAAGTCTATTCAAACACAATAACCTGCAATAGGTTGAAGCCACACATCACGCGTTTTTATATGAATAAAAATATTCTTTACAAGTCTTTTGGACAAGTCAAGTTGAAACTCCTATAAAGCTTTTTCTTACGTAATGCAATGACCACAAACGGAAGGGTTGGGCCTCAAAAGGCAAAGTTGCAGGATAAATTAAAAAGAATCTATTTTTTTCTCAGGAACACAAAAGACAAATCTGGAATGGATTCTCAAGTTATGTAGATTTGAGCGTGATCATAAGCAATACCCAGAACATCCTTTTATGTCTACAGAACACTCCCATTCATCTTCCAAAATACGAATTGTCTATTGCATCAAAAGTAAGAAAAGTTATAAGTAATATTTGACATAGCATAGTCCTACAGTTAGAAGATAGGGTTAATTTTGTAAATAATGACCACTAAGAATGGAAACAGATAGATCCAATAAACACTCTCTGAATCCAAAGAGATAAAGAAAAAAGGAAGCAGAAAAAAAAAAACAATTCAAGATTTGAATCATTTAATTTCAAAAGTAAAAGATATTTGCATACTTGATACGCTAATGGGAATAACAAATACTGATTTTAATATCGCCCTCTTCATCTCATATCCAATCTCCCTAGAAATATATATTTTGGTTAAAAACAAGGTTTATTTTCAGCAAAACATAACAGCAAACTGAACATTCTTATAAAGTGTATACAAAAAAGTAAATAAAAAAAGTATCATTTCTATTCAAAATCTTACACTTGTAGAATAAAATGTCAATGAAGATTTCATTTTCTAATATTTAAGTTGTAAAAAGTAATTAACTTGCAGGAGACATTGATTTATCAACATTCATTTGAGATAACTCTGCACTTAAACCTTCTTCCTGGGCTTCTTGGGTGATCTTCGATGTTCCGATTCCAGAATGGATATTCAATTCCCTAAACCTGTAAATAAGAATGCATTAATCCTGCATTGTTAATTAATAGTGTGATAAATATAGGATATCCCAAGATTTTTAGTTAAATATGATTTTTATCGAACGAGTTGTGTGTTGTTGTTTTTTTTTTTATCCCTGAGCCTTGGGGGAGGGGTAAAACGCGCAACAAGTTGGATAAAAGTCACATCTAACTAAATCACGGGAGATTCTTTTCATCCCATGTTTAATAATTCACAACCAAAATATTACACTGTTTTTGTATAGGATTCCAATTTATTTTACTTCATCAAACTAACGCATAAACTATTGCGACGTCATATTTGTACTTAAGTGTGGGATATGAAAAAAAAAAAAGAAAATGAGTCATACAACGGGATAAAAGGGAAAACATGGGATTAAAAAAATGACAATAGCGAATTGTGATCGCTAGTCCAGCAGAGCAGGTGGAAGCATTTTTTAATTTTAATATTTGTAACATTTGATAAGGTTTTCTATTTGTACCAATAACAAAGATCAATTCATTTGAATAACACAGAACTTTGATTTTCCAATGTTTAAAAATATTTGAAATGATTTAAAACATTCAATTTTTTATACTAACGAGAAAAACTGAAAAGGCACATTCATATTGTATTATTAAATCATAAATTAAAATAACATATTGTCTGATCAATATGAAAATATATCAATCAAAAATATCAAGTAATAGCATAGTTTAAAGGATTAAGTAATATTTATCCAATCTCTCTTTTTCTAATCGTTATTTGATTGATTGATTGTATAATGTTTAACGTCCCTCTCCAGAATATTTCACTGATATGGAGACGTCACCATTGCCGGTGAAGGGCTGCAAATTTAGGCCTATGCTCGGCACTTACGGCCTTTGAGCAGGGAGGGATCTTTATCGTGCCACACCTGCTGTGACACGGGGCCTCGGTTTATACGGTCTCATCCGAAGGACTGCCCCATTTAGTCGCCTTTTACGACAAGCAAGGGGGTACTGAGGACCTATTCTAACCCCGATCCCCACGGGGGAATCGTTATTTGAAGATAATTATCAGGTATTATTAAACTCTACTTACCTCCGTCTCTTCATCATAGATATGAAAAGAACTACACAAAAGATGAAGATACAAAGAAGTGCCCCTCCAACTCCAATGTAGACGGGAACATTTGTTGAAGGTGTAGTGTCTGTACCTTTCGTACCCAGAGTGGAGGAAATAATTCCGCCATCTCCAGTGTACTCCGTAACATTCTCTAATAATGTGTTTTCTGTTCTATTTGGAATCCAAGTGATTGGTGAAGATGTGGACGAGGCGTTGGTTTGTTGATCTTTAACAACGCTATCATGTCGTAAACATGAAATATCTCCATAAGGTTCCCAGTACCCATTCTTGCATATAATATTTGTTGAACTGCCAGACAAACTGTATCCATCTCTGCAAATGAAGACGGCAGACGAGTTTTCTAGATTTCCATTGGTCGATTTCCACACGCCTCCAGCGACCGTTGGCAAGTCATCGCAAGTAATTACTGCAATAAAAATACATACTCAGTCTTCATAAGCAGATAAAATTCCGTTATTAAGATTTAGACTATCTAATATTAGGATAACGATGTAATTTATGTTTGATAAATATATACTTATTTTTACCTATCACAGCCGCCTGTTGAGATTCCTGAAACTGTTTCTGGAATGTTCGGGATTGTTTCGCTACTTCACGTGATCCCGTAACAGAGAAATCAAAGATACAATCTTTGTCTTCCCCACAAACCGCCCTCACTTCCTCTGTTACCGACACGGAGGATTCAAACACAGGACGGAATGATGGCTGATGATAGTCCGCAAAACTCTTACCAGGTTCATACGTGAACAGGGACTCCGTCTCGTTGATGGCCCCTATAATGATGAAATTATATAGTCAGCTAGTTTATTTGAGGGAGTGGTGAAGGTCTTTGTAAGCTGAAGACACTCTCTTGCATAAGAAGTTATGAACAAGAGACAAATTTTATTGGAAAAGATCGTGGTTATGTCAAAAATATTCCCATAAATTCAAAAGTTTGAACAGTAAGCTTAATAATGGGAATCTGTTACTATGGCCATTGATTTTAATCCGTAAATTAACGTAAGGCCCGTAATATCTGGGGCGACTTTGGAAGGGATCTTGCTTTCCTCTCCACCTTTATAACGTTACATTTTCACGATTAGGTTGAAAACCTTTAAGCTGCTTGCACCCCAGTCTGTTTCTCGAAGCATGAAACATATGGAGAAAACGAACAGTATTCAAAATCAAAAGTTCATAAAACAATACAAAACAGGAGCAGAGAAAACACGGGCCTCCAAAACATCAGAGTTGGGATCAGGTGCCATGAAGGAGTGAACATCCCCTGCCGACTGGTAAAACCCGCATGACGGGGTATACGGACCAGGTATTAAGGGCAGGGCTTTTTATCTAGGGGCTTAATGAAAGTAAATTGGAAAACAGTATGTTTAATTGTATGCAGCTTAACGTCTCTCTAGAGAATTTTGCACTTATATGGAGACGCCAACACTTGCCGGTGAAGAGCAAATTTCGTCCTATACTCGGCGCTTACGGTCATTAAGCAGTCAGAGGTCTTATTAGTGCCAGCACCTACTGCGATACTGAGCCTCGGTCTATATAGTCTCATATAAGGGACCGGTCTCCACTTCTCACAGAACTGTATGTTTGAAATCATCCAGCAACCAAAGATTATACATGAGTTCCTAATTTAGCCCTTATTGTATATCCTTTAATATTACCTTTAATATTACATTAGAAATGTTTACAAATATTAATCAAATATACATTTTAAAATTGTCCTTACGAAATATGTGGGGATAACGAACAGTTTTGCAAAAAAGATAACTAAAAGAAAAAAAAAACATACATGACATTCCAAACTTATTATATATCACGACATCGCTGGAATTCGGCGATAATAGTTGATCATCCGAGGAGAAAAGATCATTTGATGGGTTTTCATCATAATTTCCAAGCAGCCCTTTTAATTTTCCTTTAAATGGACAACACAAATTTTAGGAGTATGCAAATGCAATATAAAAATTAGAAATAAAGAAAAAAAAATAAATTTGATGTACATTGACTAATTAAAAGCTATAAAGAGCAAAAAAAACTATTTTATAGTATAAAGATGATTCAAAATTTATACAATGTCTTAAAATGAAGGAAATGATTTCTATATTATAGCCAACCTAACCAGTAATTATGACTTGACTCCTGCAATTCATATACAAACCTTTGATCTCATCCCCATGAACAATCGGTAGAATATTCATTATCCTCTTTGAGGCTTGGATATTAAAAGATATTTTGATATCTTTGAACATGACCATCAGTGAAGCGTCTGAACTATTGCTTTCAGCCGGGAGCAGGAGGATGGACACACCTAAAAATCAATGAATGATAAGAAAAAATGTAGCGTAGAACATTAGGTAGCGTCAATAAACTTAAAGTTTTTGGTTAAATACCGTTGAGATCCATCCAATTGGATTCTTCAAACACTAGAAGTTCAGAATTATGGAGAACATCAACTGTTCTGATCGAGTTAAGGTGAACTTCTACACGACCGGAACTATTTCCATACTCCATTACCACAGCCGTCGCTACAGTTGCAGGAACAAACGATCCTTTTTATAAATAAAAGTACTTCAAAGATGAAGATATTTTTTATAATCCATAGTACTTTTAAAAGCTAATGCCTCAAAAGAGGTAATCTCTTTTTATCTTACCGTCGTATTTTTTGAATTGCTCAAAGCGGACTTGGCTCTTAAATAGGTCATCCTCTGTGTATATGTACACGAACTCTCCGGCTCCGTTAAATGTATAACTGAGCCCGTCAAGGGTAGTCATATGAGGGTCACCGCTCGTTCTAGCTTAAAACCAATTAATGAGAATAATGGTATATATATATATATATATATATATATATATATATATATATATATATATATATATATATATATATATATATATATATATATATATATATATATTTAAATGGCGATTGTGTGCTTTTTGTGAGGAAAGTAAATTTCTTCTATCAATCAATTCTCTTAGAATATTCTTTGTAAACTTAGTTGATTGTTTTGCTGTATTCACAAAAGCAAGTGCTATTATAGTAGGGGATATACGGAGACAAAGTATATACTATCTCTTATTACACAAAGTTTAATATGTGACTTATTCAATTTAATTACCTAGCCTTGGAGGCTCGTAATTTTGACACGAGCTATAATTCCTTAATTTCAGATAATTTTGGCAGAGGCTGTACGTATCTTCTTTATCAGTAGTATCGTTCGCGGACGTCTGTGAAAAACGGCAACACTGCATAAACGGCATGACGTCATAGTAAAAGTTGCTGACGTAAGGAACACCCTCAACATAGTGATATCGTTGCTGTGTACCTCCTTCTTCTACCCTGGAGTCTATTAGATTCCCATTTGCATTATAACAACAAACGTTGTCACTGCCTCCTTTGCTTTCCAAAAATGAAAATTGAAATAACTAAACTCGTATCTGAATTAAATTTTGATACAAGTGATATAATTGATAAACGTTGTAAAATAATTATTTTGAATAATTAAACAATTAAATAAATCATGAACAATACATTCAGATGCAATCTAAAATGAAACTAGATGCTGTCATGAGACAGTAATACCCGTAGATAATATGATCTATGAGCCTCACATATGTATTTTGAATACTTAATTCATTACCAGTCTGAAATAACAGAATTTAATTAATGATTGAAGTAAATTACTTAAATAGATTCAGATAAATATTTTGCCAATAATTTGGAACTTTTTAAATTTACTTTCTCAACGACATAAAATATTATTTTAGTACAAAGCGTTTTTGATGAATTTATCAAAATGTGCAAACTGATTTTAGTACTTGCTCGGGAAAAAAACCCATTGAAAATACAACCCGATTAATTTGTCAATGCATATCTTTCTTTCTCTCCTCTCCCCCCCCCCACACACACACTCTCTCACTCTCACATTTTTTAAAAATACACCTAGATGACAAAGTTATGTTAAAACATAGTTTATTATGATAGTTTGAAATTTGTTCTTGTACTAGACAGTTTTACGTGTGAACATCTTATTTTCTACATTCACATTGGGTTTGCGTCACCCATTATCATATTTATAGATATCACCTCTCGGCACACCTCGGCCGATTCATACTGACAACGGAATCAGCAAAGGTTTGTCGAATGAGATTATTTAGCACATGTATGCTGACGATGCAGTGTGGTCAGTTAAAATCATTTGTGTTTTAATTGGTTTACATGGATTATATTTCATGAATTCGTTGTCACGACCTATGACATTCGGTAAGTACAAGATTTAGTATAGATTGCATAAAATAAATAAATGCAAATGGTTAGGTTGAAGTTCAAAAAGGGTCAAAGATCATCGCATGCCACAGTCGACAAATATCACATTGTCAAGTTATCTCCCGTTGCGGACATTCAGTATATACAGACGCAGATCCAGAATTTTTTTTCAGAAAGGGGGGGGGGGGTATCACACCTCAGTCAAAAAAATCAGCCCAAGATTTCCTGAGAAGCAAATAAAAAATAATAATAAAAACAATGATGGTGGAGTCCCTGTTTTCTAAGGGGGAGGATGTCCAAAGTCATTTTTATTCTCTACAGTACATAGTCTTATTTAAATAACTGCTAATTCCATGGGGGGAGGGGTGTCTGATCTCCCTAGCCACTGACTCCCTGTACCTGAAATGACAATTGATCTTATGACTCCATAATAGTAGAAAATTTTTTCATTTGACTACTAGTATATATACATATTTTGTTTCCTATGTTTATGTATGTTTGTCTGTTCACGGAAACTTTAACCTTGCCCATATTTTTTAAGTGGATTGGGCTATACACATGGCTTCAATATTTCATAGGTAAATTTCTTTTGGCAAAACCTTTTAATGGGTACCACCAATTTTGACCTCTTGATCTCTTGACCTTGGAGTTTGACCCACTTTTACAAGAAAAATACCTTAAACTTGGCCTAAGTTTTGAACAGGTGGTACTAGGACTTTCATACTCTAACATGTGTAATCATTGTGAACTTTCAACAGGTATAATTATTTTTGACCTAGACCTTAGAGTTGAACCCAATTTAACTTTAACCTTGGCAATAACTTTTGAACAGGTGAGGAAGTTCTAGGGATTTCTTTCTTTTTTCACATGTGTATTCCTTGTGACAGGACTTTCCCTTTGATACCAACAATTTTGACCCTTTGACCTTGACCTTGGAGTTTGACTTACATTTGAAAAACTTCAACCTTTGCCAAAAGCTGCCATAACAGTTGCTGTCACAACAATCAAACAAATTACTAAAAAAACACAGTATACATGTACATATTTTATATTCAACAGATATACATCTGGTCATATCTCTAGTTCTCCCTTGAATGAGACATGGTGATATAAATTTTAAAAAATAATTATGATAAGAGTTGAAAAGGTTGTGAATATTAAAATATACTAAGCTCTGCGGATGAATTATATATACCAGTTTAGCTTTATTTTGCTACCCAAAGCACCTTGATTAACTATTTATAAGCATACTGTTTTCTGAAATGTACCGATTTCTGTTGTCCATCTGTTTGTCTGCAAACTTTTCACATTAACTTCTTAAGAACCACTGGGCCAATTTCAACCAATTTACATTTAAATATGCAGGGGACTTTTTCCAACATAAATCTTCTTCTCAAGAACAGCAAAGACATTTATTGTCCCCCATTTTTGCCAAAGGTAGGGTACATTAAATCTCATTTGTTTGTCAATCTGCCCATCTGTCACAATAAATTTAACCTTGGTCATCATGGTCATATATTTTGAATGAGAAGAGACAAGACTTTTATATTAAACATGTGTATTAGTATTAAATGGGACAATACCATTCTAAATACACTATGATTTTCATTACCCATGACCTTGAAGTTTGACCTAATTTCATTAACAAATTAATTGCTTTGAATTGATCATTTTGAAAGATAAATGAAAGGGCATTCATATTACCTGTGATAAGACCTTTCCAAATGTATCATGACTTTTTGACTCTGTGACCTTGACCTTGAAGTTTAACTTAGTTTTCATTAATGTTGTATTTCCTTTTCATTGAGAAGAGATTCGACTTTCACATTTCAAGTGAACATTACCAATAACAAGATGCTCCCAACATGTTATGATTTTTTACCCCTTGACCTTGATGTTTTAACAAAATTTCAAAAGAGTGAACTCTCCCAAAAGAGGATAAGACCACTGTTTAAAACAAAAAAGGAGTTTAGGGAAGACTGGGCTTTTTCCATAAAAAACGTCATTTTTCGACCCTCATTTGACCCCCCGAGCAAAATCAAAATTCCGAAACCTAACTGCACATCTACATGACCCTACCAACCATCTCCCAAAAGATGATTAGGCTGCTGAATAAAATGTAAGAGGAGTTCATGAAAGATGGGGCTTTTAGCATAAAAAACGTCATTTTTCGACCCCCATTTGACTCCCTGCGGCAAAATCAAAATTCAGAAATTTTACTACACATCTGCATGACCCCACCAACCATCTCCCAAAAGATGATTAGGCTGCTGAGTAAAATGTAAGAGGAGTTCAGGGAAGAAGGGTCTTTTTGCATTAAAAAAGTCATTTTTCGACACCCATTTGACGCCCCAGGGCAAAATCAAAATTCCGAAAACCTTACTGCACATCTTCATGACACCACCAACCATCTCCCAAAAGATGATTAGGCTCCTGAGTAAAATGTAAGAGGAGTTCAGGGAAAACGGGGCTTTTTGCATAAAAAAACATCATTTTTCGACCCCCATTTGACCCTCCGGGGGAAAATCAAAATTCCGAAACCTTACTGCACATCTACATTATCCCACCAACCATCTTCCAAAAGATGATTAGGCTGCTGAATAAAATGTAAAAGGAGTTCAGGGAAGACGGAGCTTTTTGCTTAAAAAACGTCATTTTTCGACCCCCATTTGACCCCACGGGGCAAAATCAAAATTCCAAAAGCTTACTGCACATCTACATGACCCCACCAACCATCTCCCAAAAGATGATTAAGCTACTGTGTAAAATGTAGGAGGAGTTCAGGGAAGAAAAGTGTGACAGACGGACGGACGGACATGAGTAACAACAATATACCCGAACTTTCTTTAGAAAGTGCGGGTATAAAAAGTGTAGATAATGAACATTAATGAATTCAAACTAAAACACCTACAAACAACACTAAAGTGAATATGGCATGAAAATTTTAACCCCGAAATTTTCTGAGGTCGTTCAGATGCTTAGGAGGAGTAAGTATTCCAAGTCAAACGTTCAGAACCGCCGTAAAACGTTACGTAATGAGCAGGTAGACAGAATAATCCTTAGTCTCGAGTTTTCAGAAAATGACTAAAAACGTTGATTGAAATATATATTCCCTAAATATATATTCCCTTTTATCTTTTTAAAACAATCCAATGCTTTATAGTATATTTTACAAGCTAGATCGCCTTAAGGGAAATGTAACTTTTGAAATGCTCAGATTGTGTCACTTATTCATTATATTACCAAAAGTCCCGTTTGCTACGTAATGATAAATGAGTAAAGAAAAATAACTGGTACTAGAAATGTCATGTGGACGAACAAATGATTATCAAAATCAATAGAATATTTTGTTAGGTAAATACCTTGGTCTTGGAAGTCTTACACAATGTTGCGCATCACGTCTATAGCGACAGTTAACTTTTGTATTTCTTTCCTTTTGGAACATGTTGCAATCAGGATCAGGTTGATATTTTACGTTGTCTACACGAGCCTGCTGTATCGTACATGGACAGGGTTCACCGGGGTCCACTGCTGGAAAGGAACTTTCCGAATTGATCCATTTTTTACAGATCTGTCGGGCTTCTTCTCCTGATTGGGATATTAGGAAAACATCAGACCATATTCCAGGGGATGGCCTACAAAAATTTAATTCCTTTTTTGCAAGTGCACACATTAATGAGTGTGCGTTTATCAATTGCAATGATATATGTCAAATATGGAGTCCAAAATAATATAAACTTACATTCCCCTTCTTTTTACACGTGACTTAATCTGAAGTAAGGCGACTTGCTGAGTTATGTTGAAATTAAAGTTTGTCGTACCAATTGAATTTGAAATATTTGTTATTGTATTTAAGGATTCGAAGTCCAATTTTCCATTTTTTTCCTGAAATAAGAATAAAACTGATTTTAAGTTGATTTATCACCATGGTATTTTTAATTTACATTTGATGTGATGTATTTCAATTAATATAAGAAATATGACTTTTAAAAAATTACAATTATCTAGCAGTAAAATGTTTATAAAAACATATTTAAAAACAAGAAAAATTCAAAATTTAATGTGGGTATAAATTACCTTCAGTGCGTGTACTTCAAGATCGACCGTGCTACTATTTTCTAGTTCCGGTATATCATTTTTCCACGATATTGACTGTGAACCATTTCTCCAATTGTCCGGGTCATTTCGAATTACATTAGCTTTGCAAAAGACTGGATTCACTGCAATGATTTAGACATTGTAAAAAAACATGATAATCGCAAGAAAAATCATAGTCGAACACAGATACTTTGATCCAACGTGATTAACGTAAATTAAGTTAATTTGGAAACAAACATTTTTAAAATAAAAAATCAAAGTGCTGAAAGTACTGAAACGAGTTGATGGTTGTTCAAGCTTATAAATTGAACACTGCTTTACTGATAAGGAAATGAAATTGCCATTTAAAAATTGCAGAAATTTAGACTTCCATTTGATTTCTGATGTCAAGTTCATGAGATGATGCACTGTATTATTAAATCCCATAAACAAATAATGTCATGTGAAATAATAAGGAAAGCATTTCTTTTTACATTATAATTATACATTTATTGTGTATTAGTGCCCTATTTTAACAAATGAAATGAAACGCTCTTTCATACCTACAGTGTATCATGGTACAACAGTATCTGAATGTCCTTAATGTGGATACAGCAAAAGTAATATCTCGTTAAAACAAGAGGCCCATGGGCCACATCGCTCACCTGAGTAACTTCGGTGATGCAGTTCTTTACCAGATTCCCTCTCTTTCTTTACCTATGATGCCCACTAACCCCTTCCCTTTTATGATTTTTAAAATTTAGAATCTACACAACCCAAGGATGCTTCCACATAAGTTTCAGCTTTCCAGACTCAGTGGTTCTAGGTTGAGAAGAAGATTTTTAATTTTGTTCTATATATTTCTATGTAAAAATTGGATTCCCTATTGTGGCCCCGCCCTACCCCCGGGGGTCATGATTTTAAACAATTCAATATCTACACTACCCAAGGATGCTTCCACATAAGATTCAGCTTTCCAGACTCAGTGGTTCTAGCTTGAGAAGAAGATTTTTAATTTTGTTCTATATATTTCTATGTAAAAATTGGATTCCCTATTGTGGCCCCGCCCTACCCCCGGGGGTCATGATTTTAAACAATTCAATATCTACACTACCCAAGGATGCTTCCACATAAGTTTCAGCTTTCCCACCCCTACTAATGTGTTCGGAACCTTTTATTTTTCGGTGTTCTGTAAATTATAAAACCCGATGAGTTCAGAGTAGCTCTGGCAGTGGATCTGGCGAGAGTTAGCGAGACTTCAGCGAGATAGGGTAAATTATTCACGGAAATGTGGCTAGGAAGTGACTAGCACGTGGAGGCATGGTAAACAAAAAAGTTATGTTGCGTTTCAGTTTTCACCACCCTAGAATATGATAATGTCTGTAGAAATGTATTTCAATCAATCGATCTCTCTTTCATTCATTCAAACTTAAATAAGTTTTCTCCATAGTACAATCTTCGGCAGTCATGAATTAAAATTTCTTTTTGGACAAATATTTTTGCATGGGAACCGGGACTATATTTTTTGGCGTCAGATTAGCAAATGAGGCACCAGCATGATTTTAACTGACCAATCAGCTGAATGGGTATTGCATTATGGGTTACTATGAATACTACAGGAATTTTACGCTTGAAAAAAAAGGAAAATCTTAAGGTAAATGAAAAGCATTTTTAAAAATATTAGTTTCATGCTCATAATGACAAACAATTCATTTGTTTAATAAGCGGTGGAAGTCTAGGTTTCTGAAAGTCGTACTGCAAAAGCGATTTGCGTCTGTATTAATTCCTTTGTTGTACTATCGGTGAATACAATTGCCAGGTGAATTCCCTGACCGAACACGTGATCACGAACGTAAACAAAGTTTTGTCCATTTAAATGCATAGAAGATGCTGCTCGTTTTCCTTACCATTGAAGCGCTGGTATTCTGAACTGGACACAAACTACGTTTTCTTGAACATTTCTTTTCAGTTAACAACAAATTAAAAACGCCCCTAACATCTTTCATAGTTTTTTTTTTATCTTTGTATTTTGTTCGTAAGAATATTTTTGTTATTTTGCAGTCCATTGACATGATCCTAAATTGACCTGAACTACGTGTTCGAAATAAAATGTAAACATGTATTTGGTGTAAACGTTGCTACAATGAAGCGCATTGAAGTGGTAAAATTTTCCGTTTGGGTGAAAAGTTCTGAGTCATGTTTTGAACGCCAATAATAACATAATGACACGCCCATTTCTTTAGAAACGAAAAAGGAATATTCGTCGTAGTTTTAGGACACCCCATTCTTCGCGACAAGCATCATGATTTACACTGAATTGGAGCTTTAAAAAAAAATTAGAAGAGGGAGTTAGAGACTCCCCGCTTCTGTAAAACACAAATTGCAACGAATATGTACATATTTTTTTAACTTATCATGTCTATTGAAGTTACCACAACACATGTTTCGGTCGGACACGTGTTTACTTGGTGTTTATTTAGATCCTTAATTTGATTGGCTATTATATTTATGGAAAACCTGTTCTACAGGTATTTGAAGAAACAACTTGACTGTTTTATCCATTTCTAAAGAAATGGGCGTGTCATAAGATGACAATAAACACTCTAAAAATAGCTCAAAACGTTCCATTCGAACGGAAAATTTTACCACTTCAATGCGCTTCATTGTATTCATTCAACGATTGTTCAGTTGCTCGTGGTAAGATCCTCTGTGCGCATTTATAACAATAGCCATATAAGGCAAACAAAGGTTCGTCAGTGTAGATGATAATACACATTTTTTACCAGCGAATCGGTCACTAGTGAGCTCTAATTTTCGCCGAAAAGTATAAGATATATTGTTATTTTAACACCCCCTCCTTAAGCCACCCTTTTTGTGATGAAAATCATGAAAGTCTTTCAGAAAGGTCTGGAAACATTTATTACAGGACATGTTTTCAAAAGAAACAGGCTATAGCAATATCATGTTTACTGCCAATTTTATTTATAAAACCGGTTCTACCCTATAACCTTTGAATAGATCAACCTAAATCACGTGTCTTGAATTTAAATCACAATAACATTAGTAGGGGTGTTTCCTGGCCCTGTGATTCTTGAGAAGAAGATTTTTAAAGCTTTGTTCTATATATTTCTATGTAAAACTTGGATTCTCTATTGTGGCCCCGCCCTACCCACGGGGGTCATGATTTTAACAATTAAATATCTAAACTACCCAAAGATGCTTCCACAGAAGTTTCAGCTTTCCTGGCCCAGAGGTTCTTGAGAAGAAGATTTTAAAAGCTTCGTTCTATATATTTCTATGTAAAACTTGGATTCCCTATTGTGGCCCGCCCTACCCCCCGGGGTCATGGTTTTAACAATTTAATATCTACACTACCCAAGGATGCTTTCACATAAGTTTCAGCTTTCCTTGCCCAGTGGTTCTTGATAAGAAGATTTTTAGTGACCCCGCCCTATTTTTGTTTTTTCTTGATTATCTCCCCTTGCAAGGGGACTTGACCCTTCATGTTAACAATTTAAACTTCCCATCACCCAAGGATGCTTTGTGCCAAGTTTGGTGAAAATTGGCCCATTGGTTCTTGAGAAGAAGTCGAAAATGTGAAAAGTTTACAGACAGACGGACGACGGACAAAATGTGATCAGAAAAGCTCACTTGAGCCTTCGGCTCAGGTGAGCTTAAATACTTTTCATTATCAATTTGACAATAACTATTGTTATATTTGGGACACAGGAGAAAACTAATAATTATACTCTTGAGCATATACACTTTACAACTGTTGCAAAAACACATGGTCACGGTAAAATATTTGTTGCATATCACAATAAGCTGTAAGATTTTTCTTTCATGACACACAATAGACACAAGTTGGACAACTGCATTTTTTTCCAATGTAAATTGTAGCTGAAATCGGTGTTGAAATTCACAAACATGAAGTTAATATGATATAAATAAACATATGCCACCAACATTTTCTTGAAAATAAAATTTCTGCTATCAAACTGCGGTTTAAAAATGGTATTGCTTCTAATTGATGTCACTACAAAGTACACACTCTGTACATCACCTGAGTATCTTGGCTTGAAAAAAAGAATATGTCAGTTCCATTTTAAGAAGTTTAACTTTATAAATGGTCTCAAGCTCCCCCCCGGGGGGGGGGAGGGGCATCATTTGAACAAAAATTAAGCTGTAACAAGTTTACAACACAACAGACAACAAAGAAATCGGATCAAAAAACTCATTAAAGCTTTTGACTCAGGTGAGCAAAAATGTGTTTCGCCATGCAATTTTAAAACAATTACAAATATAAAATTAGACAAGACAATGAACACAATAAATTGATACGAAATAAACTTTTTCCCAGAGGTGATTTTACAAGGAAAAGTTCTCAATATGAAGATACACATTCTTCATTTCACATTTGTTCCAGTTTTCAAGGGGAAGCTTGTCCTCCAAGTCATTCAAAAGACTGACAGCACAATTTTCTAATATATATCAATGCTTGAAATTGTTCTCCTACAACAGTAAGTTTATCAAATCTCCCAGCCATCCTTTATGCCCTGCCATTTGTGGTGTATACCTCTAGAAAAATAAAATATTTTACATTATCATTAAAACGACATATAAATAACAAGTACAATTGAAGATCTGAAGGGTATTTTATTTATTATTACATTTTAAATTCCTGGAGATGTTATCTGGCATTAGGGAACCCCCAACATGGTAGTGATGGAGTTAAATTTCTCCGGAATGAGAAATTAACCAACAAACCTCCAGAAGCAGTGAAAAAGGTTTCGTAAACAAATCCTTCCAGGAACCATTATGCTCTGGCCCTTATGGTTTATACTTCTAGAAAAATAACAAATTTTAAATTCTAAATTAAAACAACATACAAAATAACAAGTAAAATGGAAGATTTGAAGAGTATTTTATTCATTATGACATCTTAAATGTAAATCATCATCTTTCCAGAGCAATAAATTTAGATCACTTGAATTCCAATCGTCTGTAGGAATTCAAACCACTTCTTTATACAAAATGCTTACAAGTGCATTAGCAACACGTACACTGTCTACCTCTACTATCTTCTGAGAAATTGTTTCATGCTTGATGCATATCTGCTGCAATGCAAGTAATAGCTGAGACTGGCTTTGACAATTTTTCTTTGAACCTGATATTTTCCAGAAAATTTTGTATTTTTCTTTTTTGAGCCCTTGACATCATCAACATAATCATCTTTAAGACCATCAAAATCTCGATCTGATCTTTATTTTTTTTTTTTACATCTTAAATTGTTAATTCCACAGTTTAATGACACAGGATGCCTGTGTACTCGCATGTCATCCAGAACATGTGTATTTTTTTTCACATATTCCCATTTATGATTTTTTTTCTTTTATAATGAAAATTAATAAATTAGACACTTTCACCCTGTTATGTTACATGAAAAAAGTGGTCTATATTTTTCTGAAGCGATATGAGTAAACATAAATCAATTAAAATAACTTATTCCAGATTGATTATGAACAGGTGCGTGTGGTGGATTTTGATCCGCTCCTGGCTAAAATAAAAATGGCGTCGTTCCAACAGATGCTTCGTTCTCATCGTATTTTTCGTATGATACAACAAGTAGAAATATTATCTTGGATAATTTCGTTTCGTATCATTGCATGCAGAAAAATATTCATTCGATTTTCACTAAAACATGGCCGATTCTCTCAAGAAAGTGGAAATCTAGTAGAAATTTCAACATGTTCAATGGCATGTCCTGTCGCACGACTGCTGTTTTGTGTGTTTTCAAAGACTTGAAATAATATTTCTAGTGAGGCAGTTGCCTCATTACCACAATGGAAGCTACTTTTGCGGACAAAACACAGAGAAAAATTTATATAGAATCAGGCCCCTAAAGCCGCAAAAACAAGGTGGCGCTAATGTTTACTCGGTCAGTACCATACGAAGTCCTATCGATAAACTACTGGCTAAGTTTATATTTCAGAGCAACACGTGCAACTGTACTTAAATTTACATGTATTTACATTTACCATGTTTACGTACCTTCTAAAAATTTCCACTATAGTAAGCCTCCACAGTCCTGTCAATTTCTTTTGAAGTCACTGTTGTGCTGCCGATTTTGCGTGTTTTTGTTTACTAAGCAAAGTAGCATGGTGCGTATGAATATGAAAAAGTAGTTCATCTCTATGTTAGGCCTAATGTGCCATTTGCATAAATCCCAACGAACTTGGCACAGAAAAATTAACCAATGTTTTATGCAATTAGTTTGAAAATTTAAAAAATCGACAAGGCATATATGCACATATAGGAATATATGAAATGACGAAATACTTTATCATTCTTCGGCGGTTTAAAATGCACTATTTTTTTGTCAGACCGACACAATAAGGCATGTCAATGAAAATGTTATGGTACTTAAAAAATAAATTTCCTTTCAAAAAAGAAACATTGACATGTCTTCAATATATATGTTCGCTTTTATTTATGTGGAGTTTCTCAAGATGTGATACAATTCATCGTAGAAGGAACTGAATAAACGAGGTGTGTTTTTTGGTCAAAATTAGGTCAACATTTGTAAGAGCATAACTGAGTTGATGTCCATCAACTCGTAATCAAAGTAAACTCTACCATTTCTCTAATCACTCAAAAGTGTCTTGACAAAAACTGATAAAAGAGCATTTTCTACACTTTAAAATCTTTCAGACACGTTTTTTTCTTAACCCTTCCTGTTTTTTGAAGAGGAGTTTTTTATTTTAAGTTCTTTGCCCAGGCATTAAGATAAGATATATAACAGATGAGCAAATACTTCATTTTTTCCCATGATGTTGTAAAAAGAAATCCACAGAAATTTGATTTTTGAGCTTCATGGTTCGTGTTGAAATGAATTAAAAGGTTTTGATTGATTGATTGGTGTTTAACGCCGAGTCGGCAATATCCCGGTATTTCAGCCATATTTCGGCTAAATGGTTTTGGAAAGATGCGTTAATTGCAAAATGGAACCAAGATTTAATTAATAGAATTATTATATAGGTAATAAAAAGTCTCTAATAAAATACTACCGAAATCTAGAGAATTTTAGCGTTCAATATCTTGACATTTTATTTAACGCTAACCAAAATATTCCGAATACGAGCGTTGAATATCGAACGCCCCGTTGTAAACCAAAAAAGTCGTCTGGTCAAGTTCTCAGAGATAAATTAAAGAAAGGAAGTGGCATCTAGGTAAGATGTGTTTATTTTTCACACAAAATGAAATTATCTAATAAAAATTTAGTACGTATATGACCCATTAAAACCCAAAGAAGCAAATCATATAGCTCGGTAGGTTCATCAGAATGATACAATATTGATCACTTACAGGACAAACGTTAATTTGAATACTGATACTAAAAAATCATTAATCTGAGTTTTTTAGTTCGAATAATTATTATTAATATGAGGAAAATGTTTTAGCTATATAATAAAGGAGTTATTGAACTTATATTGGTGAATATTGGCACTCGATGGCGTTCAAATACACTCGCAAGCTCGTGCATTTGAACAGCCAACTTGTGCCATTATTCACCAATATTTATTCGATAACCCTATAGTATACTAACTTAATTATTCGTTTGCAATTTGATTTTGTTTTTATAAAATAAGTTGTTAAAAAAGTTGGTGCCATCTTCTGTTATTGATGCTGGCAAGCCAACGAGAAAATAAGTAAAATATTTAACTTCTGTGGAATTCTTCCGTTACTGAATTGGAGTCCTGTTCAAATTTTGATCTCTCCAGAACATGCTGATTCAAATAAATTGATGGTTTCTAGAGGTAAATATCCTTAAGTAAAATTAAATACTTACAAACAGTGTAGTGTCCTTTCAAATACGTGTCATTCATCCGTTTGGTTTTACTATGTAATGATACATGTACTGTGATTTCTCCAGTGGTGTCAAACCTAGGTGTGATGCAATAAAAGCTATACTGGTTCTTCTTCTCGCACGTCAAAGTCTTCCTTATTCCGTTGAACCTGACCTTAAAGACGTCGTACTGATCAATGCAAGGTCCACTCAATGTAAGATGCTGACCTCCAAACATAGGGCCGCTTCTCGGTGATATGATCATCGTCCCTGAAATTATAAGTAACTGGGAGTTTATTAGATGTCAATAAAATTGCTTTCAGATTACACAGCTTGCCAAAAATATTTTTTTTTGCCCAAATGTGCTCATACTTGACATGGTATTTAAGGGGGCCGACTATAGTTTTATTGTGTGAAAACTACAATAGCGAAACTCTTCATTTTTATACCATATATAACTTACATTAACTTCAGTGTACATGCAAAGTTTGTGGGAAATCTATTGTCCAGGTATTTTTTAGGGACCGTCTCAAAATACAGGTACATTTAATATAGGATTATATAGGAGAATGCCAATTTTTAGCACTTTAAAGCAAATTCTACAAATACTACAATAGACATTTTGTTCAAACTATAATATTTGATGAGTTATACTATATTATACAACATATGTAAGAAACACAAAATTCTACCGTCTTGTTACCAGAGGGGGCATCTCAAAATGCAAAAAATAGCAAATTTTACTATTTTTTATGGAGTATTACAAAATATGACGTACACAATGAATTCACATGAAAACATGATAAAAATATTGGAGATATTCTCAAATTTCTATGTTTGAAATTTCAAGAGCGTATGTTTATTACTTATTCCTTAATAAGATTTTATTACCCCTTTCTTTAAGAGCTACAGATTATCATAACGTCAAAAACACACTGCAACGACGTCAACCTACCTATTAATTGCAAAATCGGTTAAAAAACTAGTTATATCTTATTGTAATTACATTTTTATACCTATAATTTCTTAATTTTGTTTAATTTTAATAATTAAGCAAAAAAAGTTGCATTAAAACAGTAAATACGCGTCATTTTACTATGATGCGCGAAATATTGCGCAATGGAAACTATAGTCGGCCCCCTTAAAAGAATTGCTCTCAATTTTAAAGCGTAAGGGTTATTTATCTTAAAAAAAATTTAAATAGAATTGAAAAAGGCTATCGAGTAAATCACGATTTTTATTGTAAATCCAAGAGGTATTGTCCTGAAAGCTGCTATTTTTTAAAAACACAATTAGGGTTGATATATATTATTACTTACTACATTATATATACTACAATTTCTAAAACAAGGTAAATTCTTGACAAACAATTTGATAAAACAAAAATATCAGCAGTCTCGTTTTAAGTCATCATTTCGAATGATTGATTGATTGTATACTGTTTTACGTCCCTCTCCAGAATATTGCACTGATATGGAGACGTCACCATTGCCGGTGAAGGGCTGAAAATTTAGGCCTATGCTCGGCACTTACGGCCTTTGAGCAGGGAGGGATCTTTATCGTGCCACACCTGCTGTGACACGGGGCCTCGGTTTATACGGTCTCATCCGAAGGACCGCCCCATTTAGTCGCCTTTTACGACAAGCAAGGGGGTACTGAGGACCTATTCTAACCCGGATTCCCACGGGGCGTCATAATTTCGAATGTTCTATGGTCGATACAATGACCTTCTGAGCAAAAACAATTTATCATTGAGTCAAATGCTGATTGACGCTTTTCCTACTGATTGTTAGTTCATTATTTATACACTGAATTGACGACGGATTTTTCCGTTATTTCCTACGATGGCCGATATGAGCCGTCAAATTACAAGAGTAGCTCTATTATGTACGCAGAATTATTTGACTTTAATAGTATTTCCTGTATCATTTTGTACAAGTACACTTTGTCAAAAAGCATGTAATTGTAATATCAATTTATACATGTACAAATATTGAGACAAATACACTTGAGACTACTTAACATTTCTTAGATTTATTTGGACGGTTATCTAAAATCTTAGAAGGGACAAAATCAAAAACATGTGTTATCCGATTTTTCTTCTTTTTCTCCTGTTCCCTCCTCCCTCATTTTAGTTGTTTAATAAATGTTGTGTACCTTACTTTAATTGATCAAAAAAATGCAACGACATTGTTTTTTTTTATTTTGATCTCAAAATTATTTTTTTTTATCATAGAATATTTTGCTTCGATTTAGATTCCTCTTTTTTTTTTCAAATTCAACTGTCATGATAACAAAATCTTAACCTCCATTCGTAGCCCCAAAATACTGATTAGAGATTCCATAAACTATTGAGCTGCATCTTTATGTTATTTTTTTTCCAGCCAGATGAAAATATGTCCCTTGATCGAACGATTGAGAAAATATTCCTTAGATATCTGTAATTTGGGATGGAGACTGAAATAAATACACGTGTTTTTGTTTGTTTCTTTTTTTTTTTTGATTGAGGGTGGGTAAATGCATGTTAATGTTGTATTCCAATTCTTTTAATGATATTTAAAACAGCAAGACTGACTTTGATCTTACAAATATTTTCAGTGATCTTATCTGTCGGGTTTTTCCATTATTGAAGGCATATTTTGTGAGAGTCTTTTTTCCAATTCCATCGTAAATCACTGCATCTTTATATAAAACGTTATGTATTTCCTAGTTATATTTTTTCCTAGTTCCAATGAGAAAGAAAATAATGAAGAAAAAAGTAATATGGAAACAGGGCAAAGCATAGAATGAAAAATAAACATATTTTTTTACGCAGATCCCCAAGCACCAGATTTTCATCTGGCGTGAAAACAAACAATAAAGATGCAACTCCTTTGTTTCTGGAATCTTTCACCAGTATTTTTGGGCCTACAAATGAAGGTTAAGATTTTTTTTATTATTAAAGTTAGAGAATTAACAAAACCAAGAGGAATCTAAATAAAGACACTTTCAAATATTCTATGGTGAAAAAAATTAAATTTGAGATCAAAGACCAAAAACAACAAACCCCAATCTCATTTCATTTTGTGATCAATTAATGTAAGGTAAACAATATTAATTTAACAAGTAAAAATGAGAGGAACTGGAGGAAATAGAAGAAAAGTAGATACACTTGTTTTTGATTTTGTCCCTTCTTAGTATACAAATAATCTTCCCAATAAATCTAAGGAATGTTAAGTAGTCTCAAGTGTATTTTGTCTCAAGATTTGTACATGTACAAATTACTATTACAACTACATGTGTCTTGCCATTGACAAAGCTATACATGTACAAATTGATACAGGTAATTCTATTAAAGTCAAATAATTCTGCGTACATAATAGACAGTGGCGGATCCAGAAATTTTGAAAAGGAGGGGGGGGGCGACCTGTTTGAGGTCAGGGTAGGGGCCTACAGCCATACCAAAAAAAAAACCATTGATTTATCAAATATTGAAAAAAAATTTTGGACACAAAAGGGGGGCCCGGGCCCCCTTGGCCCCCTCTAAATCCGCCAGTGATAAAACTACTCTTACTTGTAATTTGGCGGCTCATATCGGCCATCATATTTTCCCGATCATGACAAGGAGCACACGACGGGTGTGACCGGTCGGAAGGGGATGCTCACTCCTCCATAGCACCTGATCCCACCTCTGATGTTTTGGAGGTTTTTTCTGCTCTTTAATTCTGTAATGTTAAATGGATTTTTGAGCTCGAATATTGTTCGTTATCTCCAAATACCGGTATTTCATGAGGTCCTTGTTTTCTCTGCCCCTATTTTGTCATGTTTTATGGACTTTTGATCTTGAATACTGTTTGTTATCTCTGCATGTTTCAAGCAAAAATTTAAAATTGAAAATTGATATGTATTTAGAATTGATAATCGATTTGCAAATGCAAAAATACAGATCAATGGTGAGAGTTTCTCAATTAAAATAAGTAAAGATGATGAACTGTAATCATTCTCTGAATAAAAGTATTTAAAAACTTATGTGACCGATCGGCAGGGGATGCTTACTACGTCCGTGTTTGCTCCTCTCCTATTTTGTGATGTTTAATGAACTTTTGAGCTTGAATACTGTTCATTATCTCCACATATTTCGTGTATAATGTTTTAATGCTTTACCTTTGGTGTTACATCCCCCTGTTATCACCTTCGACGAATCTATCCTGAAAACGAACTTTCCTGGTACATTGACATTGGTTTTCTCGTTTACCGTAATTATGTCTGGTGTTTGTGACCCATTAACTGCGTAAAACAACTTCCCATCACCGGCATTGAATCCTGCCTATTAATCATTATAAACTACTTTTTGTCAAGAATACATTAATAACAAAAACAAACATGTTGCATAATTTAATATATATATTTTTACTGACTTATCAGCTGTCAAATTTAATATATATGATCAATGGAAGTTAAGATAAAAGAGAAAAATATAGCATTTTAATGATAACCTATTTAATTCAAGAAAACACACATGCGCTAAACGGAAACTCGTAATGATTTCACTGATAACCTCTGTTTTTATCAATATCTCATTCCCAGAATGTGTCCTAATGTAACATTGTACAAACAACAAATTTGTTTAACATTTTTTTTAATTACAAACTTAAGATTATCGTGTAAAGACATTGAAAAGTGTAACATTAATCTTCATAAATACAAGGATAAGACTATCTAACTATTCAACCTTCAGAAGAAAATAGTAAAAATGGTAAAAATAGCGAATATCAATTGCAAAAAGTCTTAAGACAAAATATAAAATGAACAGTGCTTTATAAAAGGCTACCATGTTATTTTGTATAGAGCACTCACAATTCCACAGACAGACAGACAGCTAAACAGACTGAGAGACAGACAGACAAACCGACCTGAGCAGGCTTCCCTCCGAGTCCAGTGTCTTTGTCTCCCCCACTTCCCGTTCCGGTTGTCCATTCAATGTTTGCATAATTAAAAATAGCAAAGGAATGTTGTCCATTTGTAATCAGTACAGCTTGAAAGGTATTTTGCTTCAACAGATGATATTATAAGAATTAAATTGAAGAAGAAAGAATATCATCAGGGACATAAATCATGCAATGCGTTAAAATATATAATGGATACATACCATACGGAACTGATCACATGAAACGCAAGAAAAATAATTTTTAATTTATAGCACAAACAAAATGAAGAATTCATTACCTTTAAACATCCACTACTTGAACACCCATAAAAGGCGACATTATCCCACGTGGCTATAAAAACCCAAGCAGCATGAAAACGACCAAAGTCAGGAAAGTATGACTTGATTTCATGAGAAGCTTTGTCTAGAATATTGGGGTCTGTAGTTTCCCTGTACCGGACATGCCCCCCTTTAGTAGTATCCACGTCTCCCCAGAAGGGAGTGATAAGTCTACGGTCCCCGTCCAGCGGAAAAGGATCCGGAGTATATTGAGACACCGGGGTCAGAAATGAAATAGCACCATTGGTACTCACCTAACAGAAAACACATAAGTCTTTTTACAATCAATATTCTCTATCTTAAAAAGTCTCCGTACTTATGCAAAGACTTTGTACTTTACGAACTTACGATTAATTGGTCGTGTTGGTGGTTGAAAAATGGGAATTTAGCAGAAATTGAAATGTTAGGCGAGCTCCCGTCATCATTTTCAGGCATTGTCGTGTCACCCACGTCCTCACCAAAAGGATAGAAATCGGACACTCTCACTGTGTCCACAAAAACCAGACAATTTATCCCCAACAAATACAACAGGCACAACATATTCTGTCATGAACGTCTCAAGCAGCTCTTGTGTTGAAATCTTTTTGATTTAAAAAAAATTTCAGACGCATTCTGTCTTGCAAACGAACCAATGAAAAAAGAGCATCGCTTAAATGTTATGGAATTCCACATATTAATCATTTAGATGTCATTTTCATTTAAGTCGTTCGAGTTCTCTGAATTTGTTCCAAGTGATAGGAAACCGAAACCAGATGCTTCTGGACATGTTTCTTTATCAAATTGTGCTGCAATTTGATAGAGCCTAGGATATTTATAACATTCATTTCAAGGTCAATCTTCACTGAGCACTGAGTAATAGTATATATGATCAGTTCATTTTTCTATTGAATGACCAGATTTTCTGAAAGCTTCCGCATGTATTAAAAATATCTTCAAATTCCTTTAGAATTAATTTATCAATAACTCCTTGTATTTCTTAACCAAAGATTAGTAGTATTTGCCTTGAATTTTAATAAGAAGACTTTTTTATCACATTGTGCGATATTAATCTTGAAAAGGTAAAGAATACTTATTTGGCTTCGCTTTTTGGCTAACATTTTTGAGGAAGAAAATAAAATACTGTGAACGTAAATAATACAGATCACTTTTAAATAATAATTAAAATCTTAAGTTGTGCTTTTTCTATTTTGCACTTGTGAGAGGGGAATATACGAATAATTTTACTCATTTACAGATTAATTGCGGTAGAAAAAAAACAGTGCTTTGCTTCAATTACATTCATACCTATCTTTATTTCATTTGGAGACAGATACAATTTATTTGAAGAGAGTTATAACTTATTTGAAAAAAGTACAAATACGAAAATTGTTGATAGGTATAATTGATTTAAAATAGATGGAATTGAATTGAACTAAGGTATAATTGATTAATTTGATCTTCAATTCCTTTACAGAAGGCAATCATACTCGTAACATTCAGGCTAAAACTGAGAGAAACTCCCTGTTATAATTTTGTCCGTGAGCTTCGCAACTTTACGTCGATTTTACTCTCACACGCGTAGCATGGGAAAATGTAGCCAGTGTTTGTCGATACTTTCTTACAAACATTCACGTGTACCAAACCAGCTGGATTCTGTAAATTCTATCCTAATTCGAAAATTCGCGAGGGGATCTGTTGGCTTTAGAATATTTCAGTTACTCTCAACCATTAAGACTTCCGTCGGAAGGGTTGAATATTATTCCTGTGAGAAAGATAAATGCTCTGTAGAACTCAGTTCACGGGAGAATCAAGGCTGTTACTGATGCTCAAGAGAAATGAAAATTTTCTTTAAATTTTTGGGGGGTATCGACATATCAATTTCAATAATTCATGAATTATTAAAGTCACGCTAGATTTTGCTAACTTGTTGATAAAAGATGAATTAAAATATTTGATAACAATACTGGAAAAACTATCTAAATAACAGTTTTAATAGAATTCGAAAGTTTACTAAAGTATTCATTTCTTTTTTCTTTCAGTATTGTATTTGCCTTGACTTTTGATAAGACATTTTTGATCACATGTTTCGATATTAATTTGAAAAGTTAAAGAACACTTATTAGGCTTCAGGTTTTGACTAAAAGCTTTTATAAAAAAAGTGTGAAAGTAAATAATGCAGGTAACTTTTAAATAACCATTAACATCTAAGTAGTGCTTCATCTATTTTGCAATTGCGAGAGGGAAATATACGAATAATTTTCCTCATTTACAGATCAGTTGCAGTAGAAATAACAATGCTTTGCTTCAAGTACGTATACCTATCTTTATTTCATTTAGAGATATGTACAATTTATTTGACGATAGTTATAACTGATCTGAAAAAAGCATAAAAAATTTAATACCAGAATTGTTGATAGGTATGATTGATTTTAAATATATGGAATTGAATTGAACCTAGGTTTAATTGATTTATACATGTACCTTCATAGTTCCTAGTTTTAAATTAATTGTTCCAAACTTTAAATCAACTGTACATAATCTTCAAATGAAAAAAAGGTATAATTCAATTAAATCTATCTTTGATTGAATTGAACTTATCTGTCATGGAATCAAAAATAGCTATAACTAATTTGAACCTTGATTCTGTTATGAAATATATGGAGAGTTCAATTATGAAATATATGGAGATAAAAAACAGTATTCAAGCTCAAAAGTTCATAAAACAATACAAAATAGGAGCAGAGCAAACACGGACCTAAAAAAATCGGAGATAGGATCAGGTGTCATGGATGAGTGACATCTATTAAATGACAAGTAATTCATTAAGACCTGTCTTCAACTCAATTGCACCTTTCCTTATTTCCTTTTAGAAGATAGGTGCAATAGTTTGAAGATGAGTTCATTTTTACTTTTCTTTCCGTTCATTTAATAATTATACTCATATTCAAATCAATTATTCCTATATCCCAATGAATTGAACGTTAATTCAATTTAATCTCTTTTAAATTCATTTTGAGATTGTTACAATTAATATTATGATAGAACCTAGGTATATGTATAGGGTATGTATACCCCTTTTCGGTTTCCCAATAAGTCTGGTACGTCACACAGATATCCGTAGTACAACAATATCTAATACGTGCTGATTAGGCAGGTCATCCCAAGATCATGATGAGGTACAATGTGTATCAGTGAAACATATTGCTTCATATGCACAGTGAAATTTTTTCATTGACAGCCATTGATATTTCAATTGATATTTTTGCATACATGAGTAAATCAGACTAGTCAGTTCAAAAGAATATAGCGACAATAAATCAATTTAAACGAATAATGGCAAAAATGTCAACATTTCTCTGTGTTTTGTTCCATTGGTAGCTGAGTTAATGCAACACTGTTTTCCTCCGTATTACCAGTTTTGTGGAAAGCCAGAGATTTTTCATTAGAAAAGACTTTCCAATGACCACGCCTGAAAAATAAAAAACTGTTGAGCTGCAACTTTACACGTACTATAATATTTTTTTATTTTGGACCTATCAGCATTGATTAGGAGATAAACGATACACACCTTGCTTTTTGTCTTTGATATAGGATAAAAACCATGATAAATGCGATAAGTAGGAAAAGTCCAACCCCAACTCCTATGTAGATAGGTAACGTCGCATTCTGAGACATTTCCGGATTCATTGGGACACCTGCACCAGGCTGGGTACCAGGCAAGGTGGTTTGAAGACTGTTCAGTTGACAAGAAACGTTCTCATATCGTTCCCACCGCCCATTTTGGCATGAAACATTTCTTATGTTATCGGAAATCGTATATCCATCTCTGCAAACAAAAAAGGCAGACGAGTTTTCCAGATTCCCATTGGTTGATTCCCAGACTCCACCAGGTATTGTTGGCAAATCATCGCATGTCACCACTGTAATGAAAGTGTATACGTGTTTGGAGATGGGGTAAAAACTCAGGATGGCTATTCTAGCTTACAAATCCATTTGTAACAATTATGCATATATTACATGTATCTAATGCATATAGATAGGTTTGATATATAGATAACTATTTTACCTACCACAGCCGCCTTTTGAGATTCCTGAAACTGTTTCTGGAATGTTCGGGATTGTTCTGCCACGTCACGTGATCCCGTGACAGAGAAATCAAAAATACAATCTTTGTCTTCTCCACACACCGCCCTCACTTCCTCTGTAACCGACACGGAGGACTCAAACACGGGACGGAATGAGGGCTGATGATAGTCTGAAAAACTCTTACCAGGCTCATACGTGAACATGGACTCTGTCTCGTTGATGGCCCCTTCAAACAAAAAAATCAGTACATTTCTCCGTTACATTATACCATATTCATAGTCCATTGAAATTCTAATTTGTAGTTTCAAAGAAGTACAGTTTATAAACAAATAATAAATGATTAACAAAATCATACATGACATCCCAAATTCAAAAATAAAGGAATCGTCAGTTTCATTTTGCTGAAATTGTTGATGTGTTGAAAACATTAAGTCATTCAATGGACTGCCATCATAATTTCCCCGCAATCCTTTCAGTGTTCCTTCATAATCAAATTAAAATATGACTTATTCAACCTTATGAACACATTTCTACAAAACATATTACGATAGGATGTAGTGTATAAATTTACTATGCGGCCAATATTCTTAGATAATAATTTTCACAGTAGTTCTTCATGGACATTTTTTTTAGCTTCAGCTAACATTATTTTGTGAACCATTTCAATTAAAAAAAACAAATAAGTACCATTCAGTTCCTTTCCTTGAACAACTGGCATGACGTTTAAGATATCTTTCGAGGCTTCGATGCTGAATGCAATTTTGATATCTTGAAACATGATCATTAATGACTTGCCCGTGTTATTTCCTTTAGTAGGGAGTGATACAATGGTTGCACCTAAAAAAAAAAAATCCCCAATATTACAAACATAATCAGTGAAATCAATCAATATTTGTTCTATCAATTTAATTGGATAAATACAACACCTTTCACGTTTAACCATCTGGAATCTTGAAAATCAAGTAGTTCTCCGTTTCTGAGGACATCAGCTGTTCTTATCGAGTTAAGTCTAATTTCTATGCAATCAGAGCTATTCTCATACTCCATCACTACGGCTGTCGCTACAGTTGCCTTAACAAGCGATCCTTGTTTAAAGAACGAGTAAATTAGTTCCATGAAGCATATGGAGATAACTTATAACGAACATTTAATATATTTCTTTATAACATGAAATGTTTGCAAGAATTATCAAGAAGTACATTGTTAGACCCTACCATCGACTTTTCTGAACTGTTCAAAGCGGATTTGGCTTTTAAATAGGTCATCCTCCATGTAAATGTACACGAATTCTCCAGCTCCGTTAAACGTATAACTGAGTCCGTCTAATGTAGTGATATGAGGGTCACCACTAGTTCTTGCTGAAACAAAAAGGAACTCTACATATTTACACATACTTACACACATAACAAAGATTTAAAATAGACATATGCTAAGATCTGGAAAGTTTTGATAATAATCTACAAATATACGATAAATTCTTTAAGCTGTATGATCATGTGACCGATCCCTAAATATGTTCAAAACTGACATATTTTATTTCTTGTGTTAATATTTGTGATAAATAATTGAGTAGTTATATAGACCTTTTGCAGAAAAAAAATGTTACAGAAGTATTTTTTGAAGGAAAGGTGTTAATATATGCACATTTGTGCCTTTTGATTCGAAAGCCTTGTATGGAGTTCAAAGCTTAACCTTGATAAAATTTTTCTATCCGTTTTGGTTTAAACTTTGGATTCATTAACAATTAACATATTCAAACAAAACGTTTTATGGTTCCTGGAAACGTATACATACAGTTCACAAAATAATGATTTTTTTACCTGGTTTAGGAGGGTCGTAATTTTCACAGGAACTGTATCTCCGTAGCGTCAGAAAGTCCTGGCAGAGACTGTATGTTTCATCCTCATCGCTAGTTTCATTCAGGGACGTCTGAGAAAAACGACAGCAATGCAGAAACGGAACAACGTCCATGCAAAAGTTTGTCACATAGGGCATATTGTTATGGTTGTCACCTCGATAATGATACCGCTGTTGTGTACCGCCTTCGTGGGATCTAGAGTCTATTAGGTTTCCTTGTTCATTGAAACAGCAGACGTTGTCGGTGCCATCTTCACTTTAGAGAGAAGAAAAGCAAGAGAAATAACTTAGACGATTATTTTGGAAGAGCCAAAAGACGGGATGATTGAAAATTTCTAAGATTGTTTAGAGTTACATGAAATGAAAAAGGCGAAGATAACAAAAAGTGATCTCATAAATAAAAAAAATGTTACACTAATCCGTTAAGAAGGCATAATAAACGGAACCCTTAGAAATTTCAGAGGTGAGATCAGGTTTATAGGAGGAAAAACATCCCCAGTTGATTGGTCACACTTTGAACCTTGTGACAGAGTCAATTTAAATATAAAACAAAGGCCTATAAGTTGTATGAAAAAATTCCCAACCATGATCAAGGATTTATTTGCTTACATATCTTTATAAAGACCATAGAATTTGAGAAATAATGACTTTAATAAATGAATTCGATAAAACAAAGAAAACAACAGTTTCCTTTAAGTCAAAATTTTGCAAAGGTTTTAATAAATGAATTTGATAAAACAAGGAAATCAGCTGTCCCATTAAGTCAACATTTTACAAGTTTTATGTTTTTTTATATGACTTTGACAATCTATAAAAAAGTTAAAGTCGAAATTGATCATCTGCGGGATATAAACCACATGTTCTTGTGATAAGGGCATATTGCTGTATAGGTAAGGAATTCAAGTTTTAAAAATTTACGTCGTCAAGATTTTTATAAAGCTTGGTAATTAGATTACCATTAACGTCCTTTTCTAGTAACTCCAAATATGAAACAAATGTGTCAAACTCCATTGAATCTTTTTATTTCAAGCTCACTGGTATATTTAGTGTCGACATAAAAATGAAAGTATGCATTGTTAAGTGATAAAATGTCATGGATATATCTGAATTTCGTATGTTTATGTATAAAATTTTGAAATTTTGAATAAATTATGCTTCATAACAGGTCTGCTAATTATGGGGTTAAATTTGTATCTTGTAATTTTTACAGATTGTGCAAAACCTGGTCTCCCAAATCCTTTTGGATATTATCAATCAGAAACTCCGGTATTATTTTTATAACAGTTTTCAGAGTATTTTTGTGTACAATCAGAAAGTTTTTAAACATATTAAGGTAGGTCACTCCTCAGCTTTTTGGAAAAGTTCACACAGTACCTCTTACTTCAAAACTATATATCAAAATTCAATTTTTATAACATTTTTAATTTCATCAATGTTAATGTTTTAACATTCAACAAAAAAAAAACTGCTCAAAAAGCTACAAAGAAGCAAGATTTGTGAGGACTATTTTTTGTGGTGGAAGGATGTTTAGCAGATAATTCTGCAAATCTGCACATTTATTAAATTTAATATCTTGGACTTTTAGCCTCACATACTTTTACTCGGAGAATATTTTCCATTATGATATTGCTAGGAATATTAAATACAGGTATTAATTTATATTTGTAGAACAAGTTTTACAACTTCCTTCAACAAACTTTGCCAAAAAATGAAGATATGTCAAATAAGTGAACATAAAATTAACACCATTTTTGGCCTGAAAATCAATATTTCAAATTAACATCACTGACCCCAACTTTTTCTTTCATAATTTTAAAGTACTCAATATTTGTGACTAATCAGCGCTTAAGTCGTAAAAAGCTGGATTTATGAAAATATTTTATTGCCTATTTATATTTTAATACCCCAAAATATGTTACATTTTAGTGCAAAAAGGTCACACAATAATTTACGCGCATTAAATTGCAAGATTTTTTCAATGATAAATATTATTCAAAATATTTTACGTATAATAAGATAACATTTTTTGCCATGGTTACATCTGATAAAATAAAAAAGAGGTATACGTAATTAACCAGAGAGTTAAATTTTACGTGCAAAAAGGTCAACTTCATTGTACCGTAGATCAGTAAGATGAACACTGACCCACTATTTTTTCAGCGATTTTGAGTCACTCTATATAAGTACCTATCCAAAATATACTTCTCAATAAATCCTTGATTTAACAAATTCACGAGTGACATACCTTAATTCTACAAATGATCAATGACAAGGCAAATAAATTTATGAGTTTCATTTTTATCTAAAAAGCAGCTATCTATGATGTCTAATTCATTGTGGGGACTTGTTGTTAGAGGAAACGATACCTTGGTAATGTCAGTCTCACACAATGCTGTGCATCACGTCTATAACGACAGTTGCCCCGCCCCTCTGCTCCCACGTGGAGCATGTTACAGTCAGGATCGGGCTGGTACTTTACAATGTCTAACAGTGCCTGCTGGAGGGTGCATGGACAAGGTTCTGCAACATTTAACTTTGTAAAAGTACGTTCCTTTTCTATCCAATTTTTACAAAGACGTTTTGCTTCAGCTTTAGAAGGGGTAAGTGGGAACACATCTGACCATATTCCTCTTTGTGGCCTGACCGAGAAGATAAGATTACATTCATGTAGCAAAAGGAAAAATAAAATAATTAATTATATAAACAAATAAATGGTAAACTCCTGATGTTACATGTAACTTACATTTTGAATGCAGTCTCCACACGAGATGTTACCCGTATAATTGCGACCTGTTCAGTCATCTTTAAACTAAAAGTCATCCAAGCGATTGAGTTAGTCACATTCATCTTTGCAATAAAAGGGTTTAATTTTATCTCACCCTTTTCCTCCTTTGATTTGATGAAAAAGAAAGACATATGACATTTATCTAAAATATATTTAAACAATATATTCTACAACAATATTTTGTTCCTTAATTATTTGCATGTATCCCGCACTACTGATTTTGTAATGATTGTATCTTGATTGTGTATAGCGATTCTCTCTTTTTAAAGCATTAAATATGTTTCCATTTCTGATATACTAGTATGCAATGATCAATTGTGTTTTGTTTCTCTTGTACCTTGATTTTGTATACGTAGATATCTACTGTACTAGTGTTTTGAAGTTCTTTGACGTTTTCATTCCATGATATATTATGTTCATCATTTCCCCAACTGTTTCCATTTTGGCGATTTACAAGGACTTTGCTGAAAGCAGGATTCACTGAAAGTAATTAGCAGATAATAATATGTTCTTTTATCTATAAATTTTTATGCACAGTTTAAAATGTAAGTTTATATACATACATGTATCAGTAGACGCATTTAGCATGCAACATAATGGATGAAATTCAATATGCTCTCTAGAAAACAATATTTTAGAATTATCATAGGTAGGAAACTAGGGATAATGAAAGAAAATCCTAACTTAATAAATGAACTACCGGGTATAATTATTTAATGCAATCTCAACCGTGCTGTGCATTTTTGATGTGAGGTTCTAGTTTTTCACTCAGTAGAGTAATTCAAACTCAGTGATTTCACTCAGTTAGTAATTCAAACATTATTTGATACATATGCATGTACTCACAAATAGTGTATTTTCCACTGAATGTTTTGGTTTTGTTTTCATTAGCCAATATGATATCAACTTGGACATCGCCAGCGCTGTCAAACGGAGGTGTAATGCAATAAAAGCTGTAAGGTGAGTCCTTTTCACATCTTAATGTATATCTTGTGTTGGAGAACTTGACTTTGAATGAAGTGTATTCTTCTATACAAGGTCCACTGAATGTCAGATGTTGACCACCGAACATTGGGCCGCTCCGTGGCGTTATGATGACATTTCCTGAATAGGAATAAATAAGGGAACAGTGAAGCAACTTGAAATCAATCTCAATATTGGATTATAACGACCCAAATAGGCTATATCTGAAATATGCTAAGCTAACAAACAGTATTCGAGATCAAAAGTCCATTAAAAAAAGAAGAAACATTGACCTCAGAAACATCAGAGGTGGGATCATGTGACATGGGGGAGTGTACATCTCTTGCTGACCAGCCACACCCACCGTGTGCTCCTTGTCATACCCATGGGTTCAATGATCGTGAAATAACGGAAAACGTATGTTCCACTCAGTTAGTAAATAATGGCCTAAAACTCAGTATGAAAAAAAATAAATGAGATGACTTTAACTTTTCAATCATCAATTTACCTTAATTATGCAGCAATATACCTTCACCACTTGTATACGGGTTTATATCTTTCAGTTGATTCGATATGCAATCTTGAGCATGCTCTACGAATGAACAAGTTTTAAAAAGAAGTAAGTTATTGACAAAAAAGTTGCTGAAACAAGAAAATAAGCAGTCTCGTTTAAATTAATCATTTCGTAAGGTCTATGGTCGATACAGTGACCTTGTCAACAAATACAATTTATCATTGAGTCAAATGTTTACTGACGTTTTTCATACTAATTGTTAGACATTGTCAGCAAATACAATTTATCAGTTAACCAATTGCTGACTGACTTTTTTTCCTACTTCTTGTTAGGCCATTATTTACTATGAAAGCCCTGAAGGGACACGTCGATTTCTCAAAAAAGTAAAATCTAATTTGAGATCTCTATTTACACGATCCGTTCCCACAGATTATCAATTCTTTCCCTCGATTTATAATTCGTAATCTCGAATTACATATATCGTCGTCACAGTTAACTAGTTCGTTCCCTCGATTTATATAATTCGTTTTTTACAAATTAATAATTCGAGATCTCGATTTGTAATTTAGGATTTCAAATAACGCAGGCCGATTCCACTGATCAATGTAATCAGTCTTATGATTTTGGCAAACCGTTTTCTCGAATTTCATTACATATACATATATCCGACTACACGTATAAAGGTTAGGAAAATCCAATCCTTTGTATCATTTAATGCGTTCTATATATTTTTTCAGTATTACCGGTCTTTCCCAACTTTTTTTTATATAATTAAGTCTACGTATATTCATAGCGTGTAAAATGTTGCTTTATTCGATAATCTTGTGATGTAAATTCAAAATCTTCTGATGTATATTTAACATCTGGTTATGTGTGTTCAAAATCTTGTAAAATATGTTCCTATTTAAAACGCCATATCTATTTATTCTAGAAATAATAATTAATAAAGAAACCCATGTTTACGTTAATCAGGACTTTAAATGGTTGTACTACACATGTAACACAGAAATCTAAGACTTTTTTGTGTAGATATCTGTACTAGCATATGGATTTGAAAAATATTTATGTTATTTTCTCATTGATGACTGGATATATAATAAAAAGCAAGAAGTAAAAACTTATTCATATTTTATTTCATTTGACACGTATTGTCATATCCAATATGTAAGATAAATAATAATTAAATCGTGGGAACGAATTACATTCCGAGGGAACGAATTGTTTAAACCAAGAGAATAAATTACAATTCGAGATAACGGATTGTGTAATTTGAGGGAACGAATTGATAATCTGTGAGAACGAATTGGCAATTCGTTTTAAAAAATAAATCCAAGAGAACGGATAATATAATCGAAAACTCGGTTTACTTTCATACATTTTTGAAAATTCCCATGTCCCTTCATTACTTTCGTAATTTACACACCGAATTGACGACGGATTCCGTTATTTCCTTATCATGACATGACGAAAGTCACTGGTCGCTCTTCCATAGCACCTGATCCTATATATTTCCCTGATGTTTTGGAGTTCCGTATGTGTTTGCTCTGCTCCTATTTTGTATTGTTTAATGGATTTTTGAGTTTGAACAATGTTAATTATCTCCATATACATGTATAACTTGGGACTTCAATATATAAAAAGCACAAAATATGCCTGTTACAACCCACATCCTTGCCCATTTTAACGTTATCGGGTGCTGTGAAAGTACATGAATTACTGGTCACTTAAAGATTATAGTATACAACTGTTTATTTCCAGATAATATTTCCTATGTAGCTTGTAACACGAACTTTGATTGGTTCGGAAGTCGGGTGTGAATTTCCGTGCACACTACTTGAGCCGGGAGTAAATAGAACGTGACATCACAATGTATACTTTCTCTACGATAACCCCCCCCCAAAAAAAATGACGTCACGATGCATTATAATGCGTAGTTATTTTTTCAATTGATTGAAACACAATTGATTAGACTCTGATATTTACATCGAGTTTTTATGGGTACATAGAAAATAAATTCCATATATGGAATAAAACCAGGGGTAAATCCCCGTACACCCTTGATTGGACCTGAATAGCGAATTTATTTACAAAGGCCGAAGGCCTCAGGGTATATAGAAGAAAATCCGGGGTAAATCCCCGTAATCCCTTGATTGAACCTGGATAACTAATAATATACCGTGTATGTAATAGTTATATATAACCTTATACCTTCCGTGTTACACCCTCCTCCTCCTATTTCCGATGAATCTATTCTGAATACGAACTTTCCAGGTATATCCACGTTGGACTTCCTGTTTATGTTGACTATGTCTGCTGTTCGGGACCCATTAACTGCATAATATACTTTCCCATCACCAGCATTAAAACCAACCTAAATTCATGATTCAATACTGTACAAAAATAAAGAGTTAAGATAAAAAATATGTATGAACAATTTTTCAACTTATACAAGTTCTTAACTTTGAGAGATCCTTTTTAAAAGCATGGAATGGTTTTTCTGTATTTATTATCATAAAATAAAATGATTTACTTCAACCAAGACATCCGATCCAATTATTTGTCTGATGGGGCAAATTTCGGTCTCAATTATAAATTCCTTTATCATGAGAATAAAAGGAGATTTTCACCATTAAAATACAGAAAAACTTCATATTTTGTCTGGAGGCCTTTTTAAAGAATGCAGTATTTTTATATACCCATCTTGCCAGCAGTCCATCTGAAAATCGGACGGAAGACATACTCTTTGCTTTGCAACGAGCTCAACTCTAGTTATACTTAGATATTTGTTTTTTACTTTTTAATTTTTTAATTAATCAGAAAAACATTGAACAGAGTACGGACTAATTCCTCAACTACCCATCTCCACCGTTTCATATATTTCAGTCAACAGTGCAAATATTCGAGATTTGCAATGAAAACTGTAATACGTTTCACCTTGATTATCTTTTGACGGCTTTGTGATAATGATTTCATATCTTACGAATATATATATTGTGGAAAGACCTATCTAAAGGTACCTACAAATTTAATCTGTTGTCCTTTGAGTTTGATTTGTAATAGTGGATTTTTGCCCTTAACATATGGTCATGAGCTGCCAAATGAAGGCATTAATGTTTCACAAACATGTATCTTGTTTTTATTATTTTATAAGCAATCTTTTTAACATCTTATCAAATATTCACAATGAATCGAAGCTGTCCTAATAAATTCAATCATTAATAGTTTATTTACGACCATAATGATAAGTTTAGATACTAAAATCTCGGAGTGTTCTTTTATTCTGTAAACTTGCTTCTTATCCATTTTAAGGCAAGTGCACTAAAAGCTTTTATAAACAACGTGAAAGAAACATCGCAAAAATACATTTAATTGCCCTATAAAATATTTTAAAAAAGCCTCAAAGCTTATTCTGAAAAACTACCGAAAGTGAAAATATTATACGAGGGCTGTTCAAAAAATAATTTCCTGAACTGTATGACATACAGATAACATATGACGTTAGGCTTGACATTTTTGCATCATTGTATCTTTAATGAATTTGTAACAATTTATGTGACTACTTTTCATCACATAGTTTCATTGTGAGAAGCTGGAAAACAAGGGCTATTCGAGACACTGCATTAAAAATGAATGATAAAGAATCAGTAAACTAGAGTGAAATTAAACGCTTCATTAAAGATGCCGTAAAGCTCGTTAAGAATTCTAAAGAAATATTCAATATAATATAATATGTAAAATTTACGGCAACCAATGTCTGTATTATTGACAAATTAGCTCGTGGATTTTAATGATAAAAAGCATAATATAATGGACATCAAAAATGGGTACCGTCCTTGCTAACAAAAACTATGAAAATCAATGGACTGTTTGCCATATTTCAACAAATAATCACTGATGATGTATGATTGACTATAAGACAGACAGCAAATTTGATAGACATCATTTCGGGAGTAGTTCACACTGTTTTAAAGAAACGTTTGACAGTAAAAAAAACTTAGTACTCAAAGGTCACTCTATCTTGTGAAAAATTAGTGGAAACGACATCGTGTAAGAATATCTAAATAATTATTTTAAAACATCAGTAATTGTAGTTATCCACGTTTGTTTGAAACGAGTCCAGGAAATCTTAAGATCTGCGTTTTCCAGTATACAAAGGGTCATACCCAAAAATGAGTTCTAAAAACAATTAGAAATTGGATGAAAAAATTTTACGGACATGTGTTTTAATTAAAAGAGAATATAAAGTTAAATCGTTAAGATTTAAGCATTGAAAAGTGTCTTTTGCTTCTTTCCGAGCACTGAGGACATTATTTATTGAACATCCCTCGTAAAATGAACACAGGAACTTGACGTTTTTTTGGTAACCTTTTCTATTCACGAATTTATAAAAATATAGTATAAGGAATATGAATTTATAAAAATATAGTATTAGGAATTTCTTTATTTATAAAAGAAAGGTTAAAAACATCAAGCGCATGAATTGTAGGTTTACTAAGTGACTTAAATACATCCATCTGGGGACAAATAACTGACCTGTGCAGGTGTTCCGCCAAGCCCAGTTTCTGCATTTCCACCACTTGCTGTCCCGGTAGTCCAGACAATGTTTGCATAGTTAAAAATGGTGAAGGAATGTTGTCCATTTGTGATCAAGACAGCCTGGAACGTGTTTCTCTGAAATGGTTTTAAAAAAAATAAAGATAAAATTGCAACAAAGCGTATGCAATCTTCAGAGTAGGAAGAACAAGTACCTTTAAACAACCAGTCGGCGAACATCCATAAAAGGCCACATTATCCCACGTAGCTATGAAAACCCAAGCGGCATGGAAACGGTAAAACTCGGGGAAATACGCCCTGATTTCATTGGAAACTCTCTCTAATATTTCAGGGTCTGTAGTTTCTCTGTATCTGACATGCCCCCCTCTTGTTGTGTCCACGTCTCCCCAGAAGGGAGTAATAAGTCTACGGTCCCCACCCAACGGGAAAGGAGTTGGCGTATACTGATTCACTGGGATCAGAAATGAAATGGCACCATTAGTACTCACCTAGAACAAAAAGCCAATACTGATCAACTATTCAACATTGTACTGAAAAAGTGATCTTCTAAAATACCTACAATTAATTTTTCGTGCTGGTGATTGAAGAATGGGAATTTTGTGGAAATTGGAATATTTGGAGAGCTCCCATCATCATTTGCTGCCATTGTAGTATCACCGTGGTCCACTCCAAAAGGATAGAAGTCCGAGACTGTCAAACTCTCCACATGGACCAGACAAACTGACCACAGCAGGAACATAAGTAAAATCATGTTTTAGAATCCTCTTAATACGTCTTGCGTTGTGTTTTTAATAATGACTTTAAGTCTTACTTTGGTTACATATACGAATAGAATATATAACATATAAAATCAATTTTTTAATCATTATGTAAACTTCCCTTTTGTCAACTAGCCAGTTGTAAAACAGATAGTTATTTTAAAGATATAATAGTTAACCTGCTGAAAGGAAATTAAGCGTAATGCTTCTACGCACTTCGGGGTCCATTTCAAGTTACTAGTATTTGCTTAACTGAATCAGAATTCCAATCAGGGAAGTTTGTTTGCAAACAAACATCATAGGCCTCTCAACTAATTTTTCAAGTTGCTCATATGGTAAAAAAAATTCTTATATAGATTTATATGTACATGAAATTATCAAATGAGATAATAACTTATGCATTCCTTTTATCAAAACATCAAAAAGTTTATTTATTTATAGCTGACAACTACGATGTTGTGTTTTAAGGACAGGTAACTCAAGTGTGGAAAAATGACCATCTAAGTTCCGATTTTTGAAATATCGTTTATAGGAGCATTGGTATTGTTATGTACGCAAAAGGGTTCCTTACATTGTTTTGTACACAAAAGTGTGACCAAAAAAAAAAGGAGAATGTCTTCACTCTACTTGAAATAACATGGTGAATTGAATGGGAACAGACTATATATTTAATATTTTTAAAACTCTATGACGATTGTTATGAAGAAGAAAATAGTAATGTCATGTTTTTTGCGTGTGCATTTTTGCGCTTTCTACATAAATATATATTTATATTTACAAGTAAATGCAACAATTAATTATCTTATTTGTGTTATCAAGCACGAAGAAGAACGACTGAGTATAAAAAAATAATCAGGTTAGAACTAAAAAGGAGGGTAGATATCACTTTTTATTTTAATTCAAAAAATTACTTATATGTTATTAAACGTATCCGCAATTTATAGCAAATAAGTTAAACATTAGTGCCAAATTTTAAAACCACTGAATTCTACTGACAGCAAAGAAACACTTGGGGAATGCTAAAAACTGACTTTTTTTTTATAAACAGTTAGATACCTTGGATTTGCTCTAAAAGGTTTCAGTAATGAGTTGAACATGTTAAAAGGCCTACATATCAAATATTAAACATGTCAACTTTAGGGAATGTTAAAAGCATTAACATGTTTTAGGTTAAATTATTTTTGAAGTTGGACATCCTTATGCTTTTTTAAAAAAAAAGGTTCTTTGGGATCACATGCCAAAAAAAACCAAAAACAAAGTATTTTCAGGTGACACAATTAGACAAACCGTCAGCCTGAGATATTATTTACTCACATTTATTTCCCAGTAACACAGATGATTTTTAAAAATTCAAGCTCTGACCCACAGTTAGATTTTCATTGTCGGTCGACATATACAATAAACCAAGTACCTTCTTCTCGACCGACCAAAGACCGGCTTAACAAAATGTTTGATGATCGTCAGCGAGATAATGATTGAGGGTGGTCAATTACTATTTGACTGTTCATTAATTGCTTTAATTCAGGACACATGAAAAGGAAAAGAACTTGTGCCAAAAGGACGAAAAAATGGTCGCCAGATGAAAAAAGAGGTCAAAATCGGGCAAGACAACGGCCTCTAAACTGCCAAATGTCGCCCAAAGAATTTCATTCTTGCCTCAAAATCTGTCGACCGTTGATGGTGTTTTTTTTCATTCAGAAATGTGACAAGTTTTTACTACCAAGCAGACAATTAAATGGCAGTTTAATCATCTAACTGCTAACAGAAGTAAAAATATTAAAGAATGTTTTAATTTTTAGGTTATAAAAATTCTATTGAAAATTTTTCTTCTGACATAAATGGTATCAAAATTTATGAATTTTGTTGTCTCCGTTCCCCGAGATGTTAATGGTGGAGGTAAAAATTAAGACAATTCTTTTTTTTTCTATCGAGCAGGAAAAAAGCCAAAGTGTTGAACATTAATTATCTACTAGCGTGCCCTTCAATAATTGTGAAATAAGAAGATTGTATTAAAGGAAAGAGGGGCAATATGAAAACCATCTATCCCTCTGTATTCAATACCCCAGAAGTCGAAAAAAAGATAGGTTAGATAGGTTACATTCCCTGCTGACAAATATATATTGTATTTCACAAGACCTTGAATTTACCAGGTAATTCTACGAGTGGTCATCCAACTTATACTCATACAGTAGTTCCCTTTCTAAGGAATAAATTCTTCAAAATCATATTATGTTAGTTTTGAATCTTTTTCATATCCCAAAGAATCAAAATGAATTTAAATTAACATAAATATATATAGGATTCCGAATCTTCATAAAAATCCTTACAAACAAAGATACATGGCGGGTTCCAGAAAATGTTCAACCAAGCCTTTTTCTTTACTCTTCACTAAGATATTAACAGTAGTGAAGGAGAAACTTCAAGAGTATTGTGCAACAATATAGTTCTAAGAAGAGGTTTAAATCAGATGTGGATACTTAAATATTCAAGGACCTTTGGGAAAAATTTGAAATCACAGGATTTTATCATAATCAACAAATTAAAAACTTACGACTTTTTGACATTATACACATGTACACAACCATGTCACGCGATAAATTAAAGTCCATGCTTTTTGACATCATTTACTTCTGTTTTATCCATACAAAGGGAACTCGTAGATCTACTCACCGTGTTATTGGTCGTTTGCAAAATTATTTTGTTAAAAAACATTCTGATTGTAAACACAAGTACTCTGAAGTCGATATCAAAAAGTTGCTCGAGTTTCTAATTGACAATACCTTTGTGTTTTTTAGAGATCAGATTTTCCAACAGTCTGTTGGATTTCCCATGGGTACCGCCCGAATTTAGCAGACCTTTTTTTTTGTATTCATATGACGCAGAATTTGTCCAAAGAAGAAACACTTTCTGTGACCTTCAACTCGACATTTAGATATATCGACGACGCATTGTCAATTAACAGAGGTAATTTCCATTCAAGTCGATACGATATATCCCGGTGAGTTTTTGATAAAAGATACCATAGATTGTGACACCACACTATAATTCAGATTCAGATAAATTTGTTAAATTGTTAAACAATATATAAAATATTATTTTAATTTATGTTTACATTAATTTGAGAAAAAAAAAATCATGATAAGCATGAGATCCAAACTATTACAAATTCCTATCACATGTTTTTATTAGCCACCTGTGTTTTTAAGACTAATAATATAAATGCTATCACTAATGGTACATGTACAATAAAAATTATATACGAAGTTTAGATAACACCGGTACATTAACGTTCTTGTTTGTCAAAAGCTTCCTTACAATCATTTCCTTTTCAAAGGCCAAGATTTGTATAATAAAATTTTGATCGCTTAATTTGGCTGGCTTTTAGTGAAACTATATAGCCCAATTAAATCAACCTTTTACTCATCATGTACAAAATCAAAAATTTTAAACTTACACATACGCAAATTTTGCTGGTAGTTACTATGTATATTTGGCGCAGGTTGATTATGCAATAGTTGCACTTGGGTATACAGTATATTTAATTCAATAGACAAAGTTTCTCTATAGTCACACTAGCTGGAAATAATGTTCATGAAATAATATATGTACGTGTAATTTACTGACAATTTTCACATGCGTGCGGATAACAGATAGGAATAAATGATTGCAGTTTTTTGTTAAAACAGCACAATATTTGATTTTAAAAAGGGCAGGGACACTCTGATAAGTCGATAACTTCAGTTTGATATTGCATGAAATATGTGGAAATAATGAAGAGTATTCGAGTGCAGATGTCCTTTAAACTTTACAAAATAGGAGTGGAGCAAACACAGACTTCCAAATCATAAGAGGTGGGATCAGGTGCCATAGAGGAAAAAGCACCCCCTATTTTCAGGTCACAGCCGCCATGTGCTCTTCGTCATTTGCAGGGGAACCTAGAAAAATCCATGGACATCTCAGTGTGTAAATAATGGCCTAACATTCAGCATAAAACATCAGTCAGCACTTTACTTTAATGCTAAATTGTATTTGCTGACAATTAAGGTTAATGCATCGACCATATGTATAACTTACAAAACGATGGTTTGAAACGAGACTGAGAAATTCTTCCTTTGTCAACTTGTTTGTCGATAACTGTCCTCGTTTTAGAAAGTGTTCATATATAGAACCTGCTATTCCGTTTCTTATCAACTAAAGCCCGGTTTACACGCTCTGCTTTTGCAGCTGCTTTGAATCAGAGATGCAAAAGCAGAGCGTGTTAACAGGGGTTTGCACTGCAGTCATGCAAGCAAACAGAATAGAACTTGCTCTATTTCAGTCTGCAAAGCAAACGTAACTGACCATTCTGATAGGAAACTATATGGGTAAATGTAAGAGCAGGCATGGTAAGCAGCCGGTGTTAAATCTCTGTCTGCATTGCAGAGTAACTGCAAAAGCAGAGCGTGTAAACCGGGCTTAAGATATATAAACTCCGCAGGTGACAAAAGTATAAATATTGCTGCATGTGAAAGGCATTGGGGGGATCAAGAGTGTGCCCCTGCCACTCATTTTTCAAACGAAACATCAAACTGTTGAAAATTAATGTTTGTAGACAGGCTGGTCGGTTCCCACTTTTGTTGTATCATAGTTAAACCATTCATATATGGTACTTCAAAGGGACATGGCCACAGTTTCAACCGATTATTTTTTAATCTTAATGTTTTCAATGCATAATTAAGGCAATTCTAATGATCAGCAAATATTTGAACACCATTTGTTGATTTAAAAAGAAGATAGAGAACATAAAATTCTTAATAAGGTAAACAAGGCTCGTTCCTTGTTTTTGTTTACAAGAAAATATCATGTTAATAATAAAACGAGATTCAGAAAATCACTAGAAACTGGCTAAATGTAATTAGAATTAACTTCTTTAATGAACAAATCTGCTTTGAGAGAAAATATATAAGCATATTTAACCTTTGAAAACAAAAACAAGGCACAGACCTTGTTTATATAGCAAAGGTTTGGAGCTCTAAATCTGCCTGTATCTCAACAACTAAAACTCAAAATTTTGACGATCATTA